CCAGCAGTAATCAGTATCGTGTCATCTGCAAAAAGATTTACCCTGGAATGATCCAGGTCAGTGCCCAAGTCATTGCCATACAGAGAGAACAAAATGGGGGCTGAGGATGGAACCCTGTGGAACCCCTTTTGTTATCTTAACACTGTTTGACCTCCAACCATCTGTGAATACAGTTTGGGTGCGAGAAAATAGGTAAATTTATAACCATTTTACTACGTTTTCGGAAAAACCGAGGCAACTTAGCTTACTAAGCAGGGTGTTGTGGTCTACTGTATCAAAAGCTTTGGACAGGTCAAGAAAAAGACAAGTACAGTACTGCTTATTATCAAGGCTACTGTAAATGTGATTCAGAGTCTAATGCAGCAGATGTGGTGCTGTATTGTTTTCGAAACCCAGATTGTTTTAGATGTAGTAGATTGTTGGTGGACAGGAAACTGCAAATTTGGTAGTTCAATAATTTTTCAAAAATTTTCATCAACGGGGACAAAATTGAGATAGGTCGGTAGTTATTTGGATCATCTTTAGGGCCCCCTTTGTGAAGTGGACGGACATAGGAATGTTTCCCACAGAGGTAACGCTGCACTGCCCCTTTGATAACCTAGTGGCAATGCAGGTTACTGAACAGTGAGTAGTTAGCACCTCTACACATACAATGAAACAAGAAAAGGTAAAACAATAAAAAACAGAGCAATGTAATACAATACACTATTAGACATTATTGTAAAAAATAAATAAAAAGTCCATCCTATGTGTTAGTGATTTTTTTTAATATTTTAGGCAGGAAATTAGTTTTCAAATTTAGACTGTTTTCTGGGGGGGACCCCAGACCCCCATGGAAGATTTGGTCCCACCCAATGTTGACTCCATGGCTACGGCCTTGTGAAAAACCACTTCGATGATCTATCATTTGTGGCCAGGTCGCTTCTGACAAAGAGCTCTCTAGCTCACTGGGGCCTTACTTCGAAAAACAAATATATATAAATAGCGCTTAGTTTATATTCTTGGGTCACGTAGATAGATTCTTTGAACCGTTCTTTGAACCTATCTCCGTGACTTTACCGAAAGACCCAAGAATATGAATTCCTGCAGTCACGAAAGCTTTCAGTCGAGATCTAGCTTTTTGATCATACTCAACCACGCCGTGCGCCCGGTGCAGGTCGGTGAAGTGCAGGAGGAGCTCAAGACCAGCTGATGTTCATAGCCAAGGCCCAGCTGATGTTCATAGCCAAGGCCCAGCTGATGTTCATAGCCAAGGCCCAGCTGATGTTCATAGCCAAGGCCCAGCTGATGTTCATAGCCAAGGCCCAGCTGATGTTCATAGCCAAGGCCCAGCTGATGTTCACAGCCAAGGCCCAGCTGATGTTCATAACCAAGGCCCAGCTGATGTTCACAGCCAAGGCCCAGCTGATGTTCAAAGCCAAGGCCCAGCTGATGTTCATAGCCAAGGCCCAGCTGATGTTCATAGCCAAGGCCCAGCTGATGTTCACAGCCAAGGCCCAGCTGATGTTCATAGCCAAGGCCCAGCTGATGTTCATAGCCAAGGCCCAGCTGATGTTCACAGCCAAGGCCCAGCTGATGTTCACAGCCAAGGCCCAGCTGATGTTCATAGCCAAGGCCCAGCTGATGTTCATAGCCAAGGCCGGGAATCGAACTTGGGTCGCTTGCCCAGCTCACATGCCAACGCTGGGCCCGTTCCATTGGTGGGTTCGGAGAGCATTTGCGCACCTCCCCTTGATGTGTATACTGCCCGCGACACGTGCGTGCTTGCGCCTGGTGGTCATCCATCAATCCCATCCAAGCGATATCCAGTCTCGAATAAAACAAACCCTGCTTAGCTTCCGAGATCGGCGGCGTTGGCCGACGATTCGTGTAATTGTCGGAAGCCCAGCTGCGAGAACAATTTTGCAAAGGCGCAGCCCTGCAACGTCTCCTCCACGTCACCACTGCAGGTGGGACGGGGCCTCCACTCGGGGCCGCTTTAACGTGTTGCCCTTCCGACGCACCTCTGACGAGGCACGGTTGGCTAAGTACGTTGCGAAAGAAGTTCAGCATTCATAGATAGTGGTACTTGGCCTCCTCTTCCACGCTATTTCCAGACGTGTGTGGATGAACAAGGTGGGCGTACTCACACTTGACCACGCCAAACACACACGCGCGGCCTTTGTCGATTGACTGGTGGTGTACAATCGTCGCCTACAGCTGGGTGCACGGAGAGATGGGGGACATTTTAGAGAGATGGGGGCATTTTAGAGATGGGGGGCATTTTAGAGAGATGGGGGGCATTTTAGAGAGATGGGGGGCATTTTAGAGAGATGGGGGCATTTGAGAGATGGGGGCATTTTAGAGAGATGGGGACATTAGAGATGGGGGCATTTTAGAGAGATGGGGGCATTGAGAGATGGGGGGCATTTGAGAGATGGGGGGCATTTTAGAGATGGGGACATTTGAGAGATTGGGGGCATTTGAGAGATGGGGGGCATTTGAGAGATGGGGGGCATTTGAGAGATGGGGGGCATTTGAGAGATGGGGGGCATTTGAGAGATGGGGCATTTGAGAGATGGGGGCATTTGAAAGATGGGGGCATTTGAGAGATGGGGGGGGGGCATTTGAGAGATGGGGGCATTTGAAAGATGGGGGCATTTGAAAGATGGGGGAAATTTGAGAGATGGGAGCATTTTAGAGATGGGGGGCATTTGAGAGATGGAAACATTTGAGAGATGGAGACATTTAAGGATATCGCCCCACTGTTGCAGCTTCCGCGGCGCCGTGAATTAGAATCGAACCAGCGACCTGTGGATTGGGAGTCAGAATTAAATTTATTTAGACCGTAGGAATCCGATGAGCTATAAAGCTCTTGTTTTACAGATGTCCAGTGAGTGTGGCAACCGTAACTCCACCTCCGATCAGAACGGTTGGCTACGTACTGTGAAAAAAATTCAACAGACTGCACATAGACTAACACTTCCCAGATTCAACACTGCACATCTGATGAGCACGGTTGGCTACGTACGGTGTAAAAGAAGTTCAACATATATACAAATATTTTGAATCCTCGTATGTATGTACTGTATGTTGAACTTCTTTCATTCTAATCAGATTCTTTAGACTGGAGAAATCCGATGAGCCGGGCAGTCTGGGCAATTGGCATGTGTTCGGGTGGTAGCAGGAACTGCACATATGTACTTAATCAAATAATGTATTTACATTTAGTGACTCGCTTACCTCTTCTTCGATTTTCCACTTCTATTGTGGTTGTTTTTTGTTGTTGTAACTTGGATGATCCCGTGCCCCCTCCTGGACATGTGAAGAAGATTCTGATCAGACTCAGAATCTTTGTACTGGTAGGAACCTCCTGGTTACTACATCACCAGCTCACAGGGGATTATTGTGTCCGTCCGTCCGTCGTGCATCCAAAAATGGGAGGGGTGGGGCTGGGTGGAGAGGGGAGGGTGGGGGAGGGTGGGGAGGGGCTGGATGGGGAGGGTGGGAAGGGTGGGGCCGGGTGGGGAGGGCTGGGTGTCGAGGGTGGGGCTGGGTGGGGGGTGGGAGGGGTGGGGCTGGGTGAGGAGGGTGGGGAGGGTCTGGGTGGGGAGGGGCTGGTCACCCCGTGGTGCCCTTATAAAACTCAACGTTTAACCTACTCACGCCGGCTTGTGCCCGCCCTCACAGTGGGGCATATTTGCGGAATACACCACGTGGTGCCGCCGTTGACCCTGGCCATTGACCGAGCAACCCAACGTTCCTACTACCAGCTCCTTCCACAGGAGAATGTGTTAGATAGTTACAATGAGGGTGACGAGAATTCATCATCTGGACCACCACAGGAGAATTTGTTTTGTTTCGACTGGAGGAATCTCATGAGCCGTGAAGCTCTTTTGACTCCGATTTTTACCGAGATGTGGTGCCGGCATTGTGTTGAACTTTGACTTTATTTTTTAACTTCATCGACCCAGGCTGGATTTGGACTTAAGGCCAAGTCGACCTCTGGGAGGCCCAGAAACAGGTCAGATAACCACCACTGGCAGTGGTTGGGAAGCAAACTCAGGTCACCGCATTAGTGGCGGGCAGTGCGCTAATCACAACTCAAACGGAGTACATTTTGTAAGCATTGATAGCACGAGGCTATGATCACGACGGAAAGTGCTGCTGGTTCACGCTCTGCAGTGGTTTTAGTCGGGGGAGAGGGGGATGCTGCTACCGGAAATCCCAACAGCCTAATTTGCGAATTACTTTCAAATTTGGACCATAACGCCAACACACAAGGGACTACGCTCTTCAAACGATGTCACGGCATCTTTAATGTCCACTGTGAAACAGGCGGTGTGTAGGATTTGACTGGTTAATGCACCACTGCAGTATTAACCAGGGCAGCCTTCTGGCTTCCAACCTCGAACCTCTGCAGCAAGCGGCAGACGCGCTGCCTCTGGGCCGCCCACCAAAGGCCACACACATCCGCTGTTGGCCACCACGTGATGGCGACGTCACCACAGCACTCGTGCCAAGCTCAGTGCACCTCCAGGCCGCGTGAAGCGCTGAAGGCTCACTGCTGGTAGGTCACGGGACAGACCCAGCAGGTGCAATGGGCCGACTGGCCGAGATGACTGGCCGATGCACCACATGTGCTCCTCACGGTCAACTTCGCTGTGTTGTGAGACGCCCACCGCTCCGCTCGTTGTTGTGAGCGTCGCTCCTCCACCCTCTGCTGTGCCTGCAACTTCCCAGTAGCAGCGTCCTTCACGAGCCTCCTCCTTTACAAAGGCCGATCTTGACACCGCTGGTACCGCTCATCGGCAAGCCCACTCAGCTCCACGTCCTCCCGTACCGCATCAGCTCCATCTCGTCTCCAGCACGTGCCGCGCCTGTTTCGCCCCCCCCTCCCCCTCTATCCGGCCAAATAGAAGCTGCTTGGGCATGCGGTGGCCGGGCACGCGAGCTCCGTGACACAGACCCAAAGCACAGAGACACAGACACAGGCGCACGCGCGTGCCGGCGCGCAGAGAGCAGCTTGGTGTAAGTTTAATGAAGCCGCGGCACGCTCCCGCTGGTGCGCGCAGCGAGTCACGAGCGAGAGCGCCCGGGTTCCTTCAGCCTTCACGCCTCTCCCACGACCCCACCCCCCACCCGCCCGCGCGCCACTCGAGCGCGCTCACAGCGAGACGCACCGCGCAAAGTGAGAAGTGGGGGGGGGAGGGACACACACACCACCCCCGGGTTAAACGGGGGGGGGGGGGAGCGTGGGTGTGCCGGGGTCAGCCCCCCGCACCACCAAATGTCATCCCTTAGGCCCAGCCAGGTTCACCCTCCTCCTCCTTCACGGTGGTCGTGGTCCGCCCCCCCCACACCCCTTACACAAGAGCCCAACTGGGGTGCCGTATCAGAGGTGTGGGTGAGGGTTGGGCTCACGTCGTTAGGGGTTATGGGAAAAATACGATGGGTCGGATCGTCTGTTCGGGGGGGGGGGGGGGGGGGGGGGGGGGGGGGGGTTAATGTTTGGGTGGCTAGTTCCACCAATAGGAGTTCAGTATTCTCGATTAGCATCTAGGTCACTAGTTTGTTAGGGTTAGGATCTGGTTGGTTAGGTTAGGGGGTAGGCTTTGGTTGGCTAGTTCGGGTTAGGGCTATGATCTCGTTGAAGTTAGGGTTCGGGTCTGGTGAACTAGTTAGTTAGTGCTAGGAGCAGGATCCAGTTAGCGCTAGGAGCAGGATCTGGTTAGCGCTAGGAGCAGGATCTAGTTAGAGCAAGGAGCAGGATCTGGTTAGCGCTAGGAGCAGGATCTGGTTAGCACTAGGAGCAGGATCTGGTTAGGGCTAGGAGCAGGATCCGGTTAGGGCTAGGAGCAGGATCCAGTTAGCGCTAGGAGCAGGATCTGGTTAGGGCTAGGAGCAGGATCTGGTTAGGGCTAGGAGCAGGATCTAGTTAGGGCTAGGAGCAGGATCTGGTTAGCACTAGGAGCAGGATCTGGTTAGGGCTAGGTGCAGAATCTGGTTAGAGCTAGGAGCAGGATCTGGTTAGGGCAAGGAGCAGGATCTGGTTAGGGCTAGGAGCAGGATCTGGTTAGGGCTAGGAGCAGGATCTGGTTAGGGCGAGGAGCAGGATCTGGTTAGGGCGAGGAGCAGGATCTGGTTAGGGCGAGGAGCAGGATCTGGTTAGGGCTAGGAGCAGGATCTGGTTAGCGCTAGGAGCAGGATGTAGTTAGGGCTAGGAGCAGGATCTGGTTAGGGCTAGGAGCAGGATCTGGTTAGTGCTAGGAGCAGGATGTAGTTAGGGCTAGAAGCAGGATCTGGTTAGGGCTAGAAGCAGGATCTGGTTAGCGCTAGGAGCAGGATCTGGTTAGGGCTAGAAGCAGGATCTGGTTAGCGCTAGGAGCAGGATCTGGTTAGGGCTAGGAGCAGCATCTGGTTAGTGCTAGGAGCAGGATCTAGTTAGGGTGAGGAGCAGGATCTGGTTAGGGCTAAGAGCAGGATCTAGTTAGGGCTAGGAGCAGGATCTGGTTAGGGCTATGCGAGCTTGTTCCACACCCCGTTCGCCATTCCCACTTTGCGGTCAGCGCTCCACCGCCGGACTTCACACCGGTTCATAGTCTCAGCCGCCAGCGTGAGGGTTGACATGCAAGGGAATAACAAGAAGTGCAGAACGTAGCGCGTCAGGTTCATGAAGCGGTCGCGACGGCAGAAGCCGCATTGAACCCAGACACAAACAAAAACTTTGGGCAACTCTCGATCATCCTGGGGTTATCCTCGGGGCAATCGGTGGCACGGGAAAATAATAAAGCGCTTGATATCGCAAAATGTGCAAATGAGATCGAAAAATATATTCACCGCAGGCCTGCTTTAGATCGGGGGCGAGGACGCAGGGACGCGTCACGCGTTTCGACTTTCTCGAAGATAATCGGATGACTTGCCGAAGTGCTTGGGAGCAGGTGGGGGGGAGCGATATGATAACGACACCAGCGCGCGTCGCTACAGTTAGTTAAACTAAAAATTCCGTCCCTGGATAATGTCGAGCCGAGCGCACGGTCCCAGGTCCCAGGCGCAAGGGCCATCGCGTCAACGACAACATCGCCAATGTGCAGGACGGCAGCGATTTGTCAATCCGGGCCCCAGCATAGGAATGCGGAATGTCCACCAGCCAACGGGGGGGGGGGGGGGGGGGGGGGGAGGGACGAGTCCCGCGCGACGCAAAGCAGTGTTGGGGGGCTTCACACGGATCCTTTGCCGGCCGCGATGATAATGTTGCCGTTACCAAGCAACGGCGGGTGTCGCAGCAGCGCCTTACAACACGTGCGCGCGTGTTGCAAGGCGGTGCGTCGCGCGTTGTCCGCCGTGCCGCTCCGCGTGCCGCGACGGTCTTCAGGAACCGAATTTCTGTTGGCTACCTCGGGCAGAAGCGGAACGCAGGGCGCGTCATGCCAACGACGGTGGCAACAGCGCGTGGTGTGACCAGGGGAACGCACGAAGGAGAGCCCGGTTAATAGCGACGCTCGCGAGCACGAGCACACAAATAACAGATTCCCTCTTTCAAACCAACATAACAAAAATATATACATATACCATTACGGAAAATGCTCTTTCGCCAATATTTACAAAATAAATGACGCGGTGGATCAAAACACAAACGGAAACACGTAAAAAAGAACGAACACAAATGTTGATATCGAGGGGTGGGTCACTACGACAACGATCATTGCATTGGGGAGGTTGTGCGCACGGACAAGCGTTGAGAGCGACGTGAAAGATAGCGGCGGTTCAACCACTGACATTGTTTCGGCCAAGGAAAATAACCAAAGTCACCTCATCTAGGTTCAGTGCATTTTAAATCGAGACTCGGGGGGGGGGGGTTCCAGCAGACTTGGCTTCAACATCGGGATTGGATTTAAATCTTCCCGTCGGAGACCGGGTCTCGGGATGAGCGTCTCGCGATTGAGAATTGATTTTCGTCATCCGTCTTAACGGAGGCCCGGCGGCGATTCTAGGAAACTTGGCTTTCAAGATGAGCTCCGATTGACATTCTGATCCATGAGACGGAGTTTGAGGATCACAAACTTGAGACTCTACTCTAGGAGACCGGGTTTCAGGATCACAGACCTGAGACTCGGCTCCAGGAGACCGGGTTTCAGGATCACAGACCTGAGACTCGGCTCTAGGAGACCGGGTTTCAGGATCACGGACCTGAGACTCGGCTCTAGGAGACCGGGTTTCAGGATCACGGACCTGAGACTCGGCTCCAGGAGACCGGGTTTCAGGATCACGGACCTGAGACTCGGCTCCAGGAGACCGGGTTTCAGGATCACAAACTTGAGACTCTACTCCAGGAGACCGGGTTTCAGGATCACAGACGTGAGACTCTACTCCAGGAGACCGGGTTTCAGGATCACAAACTTGAGACTCTACTCCAGGAGACCGGGTTTCAGGATCACAGACTTGAGACTTGGCTCTAGGAGACCGGGTTTCAGGATAACAGACTTGAGACTTGGCTCTAGGAGACCGGGTTTCAGAATCACAGACTTGAGACTCTGCTCTAGGAGACCGGGTTTCAGAATCACACACTTGAGACTCTGCTCTATGAGACCGGGTTTCAGGATCACAAACTTGAGACTCTACTCCAGGAGACCGGGTTTCAGGATCACAAACTTGAGACTCTACTCCAGGAGACCGGGTTTCAGGATCAGAGACTTGAGACTCGGCTCCAGGAGACCGGGTTTCAGGATCACAAACTTGAGACGCGGCTCCAGGAGACCGGGTTTCAGGATCACAAACTTGAGACACTGCTCTAGGGGAACGGGTTTCAGGATCACGAACTTGAGACTCTACTCCAGGAGACCGGGTTTCAGGATCACAGACCAGAGACTTGGCTCTAGGAGACCGGGTTTCAGGATCACGGACTTGAGACTCGACTCTAGGAGACCGGGTTTCAGGATCACAGACCTGAGACTCGACTCTAGGAGACCGGGTTTCAGGATCACGGACCTGACTCGGCTCCAGGAGACCGGGTTTCAGGATCACGGACTTGAGACTCTACTCTAGGAGACCGGGTTTCAGGATCACAGACTTGAGACGCGGCTCCAGGAGACCGGGTTTCAGGATCACAGACCTGAGACTCTACTCCAATAAATATATTTTGTTTGAAACGATGATTGCATGCGGATGTGCGAAGGGCCGACAGCAGCAGGGGAGCACAATCCGGGTCGGCGCGCAAGTTCTGCGCGAGTACATTGACGCCTGTGGTGGTCTGTGCGTGCGTCGCTCGTGTTCGAACGTCGCGGATTCGTAGCTGAAGCTGCGCACGCGTTCGCGCGCAGACGGAAACAACAAAAATACCAAAATGGCGAGCGCGGGCGCCAAAACAAACTAAATTGTATACCGAGCCACGCGTGCGACACAATCGCAGGCTCGCACGCTCGCACGGCCCGCGGGCCAGCGCCACCGACTCCGCATCACCCGGGGCAGCCGTGCGACGGACGCCTCGGTCGACGTCCGCTCCCCCCACGCTCGCGACGCATGCACGGGCACGGGGGCACAGGCACGGGCACGGGGGCACAGGCACGGGCATGGGGGCACGGGATCGCGTGCGCGGCAAGGATCGGCGACTTATCCGGTACGGGCTCACGCCCCGTTTCCGGCCGTGCCGGGGTTCCCACCGGCGGCTGCGCCCTCCCCGCCGCCCCGGCGCTCGTGCCCAGCGCAGGTCACCGGGTTCTAACGCGGCCACCAACTCCACGAGAACCGAGAGGGTTGAAGGAGCTTTTTAACAACCTACCTGACTAACAATAGTACCCGATAACATGCCACTGAGAACTGCTCAGTGGAACGTTATCGATCCTAAAACCTGCACTCCCGAGAACTGTCGATTCCCCCCCCCCCCCCCCCCGAGAAGAACTCCTTTTGAGTATAATTAAAATATTTTTTTTGTTAGTTATTCAAACGTTTCGACCCAGCGTCCGAGGAATGATACCTCTCCCTGGCTCCCGGCTCGCCATGCTTAGCCCGGAAAGGGTGTGGGGGGGGGGCACCCAAAAAACACCAACGGCTCTTCTCTTGCAGCTACGCACGAGCTAAATGTGAAACCTAAGAAGACTTTTAATAAATTGATATTCAAAGCTCGCCGGAGCGACGCTCGGAAGCGTCAACGTCGCGGTCCAAGCGCCAAGTCGTGCCCCGTTTCTCTCTCTCCGCCGGTGACGTCACGGCATTGATTGTGGCAAGTGACGTCACCGCAGCGGCCGAGGTGGTGGGTCCCGAACGTCACTCGATTCTCTTGAATGCTTTTCTCAACGAAGTTCGGAAGCATTGACGCAACATGCTCCCCCCGTTTGTCCGTGCGTAACGGGATTGCGGGGGGGGGGGGGGGGGGAAGCGGGGGACACGTTAACTCTGGTAAAGATCATCCGCTGCGAACCAAACTTTAGTGTAAAGTCGAGTTGCCCGTTCGGGGGACATTATTCCTCGGGAAGAAAGAAAAAAAACCCGGCCACATTTGATCCCAAGGCGTTTCCCAAAACTCGGACAGAAGACAACAAACGCAACCCTTGGCCCCACGGCCGCCAGCCGCCAGCCGCCGTCAGTTAAACACGCCGGAAGACACAGCCCTCACACGCCGGGCCATCATCGATGAAGAGTCAAACTCCTCTCTCTCTCCCCAGGGACTCGTAACCCAGGTGTGCTGCGACAACAGAAGAGCCTTTTGATTTTAAGCTTTCGTGACTGCAGTAATTCATATTCTTAGCTCTTTCGGTAAAGTCACGTTGAAGACAAGCAATAAAATAATAAAATATATATTAAACAATAAAAATTCTCACGACGTTTCGACCGTAACACAAATGGATGACCGTTTGTGTTATGGTCGAAACGTCGTGAGAATTTTTATTGCTTCATATATATTTTATTATTTCATTGTTTCCCTTCAACGTGACTTTACCGAAAGAGCTAAGAATAACAGAAGAGCCATCCGTTTCACCTACGAGCAAACCCCACGCGCTACGCTAACAACGCCAAACTTTGTGAATTAAGTCCACTGCAAAAAATCCGTGCTCGGTTTAAACCCCTTAACTTCCCCATCAGGGCTTCCACGCTCTCCACACCACCACCACCACCCCCAACCACCTCGCACAACCTCATCATCATCTTCCTTCCCATTCATTCAAGCAGCAGCAGCAGCAGCAGCAGCAGCGGGATTTATTTACAAGGGCGCGCGATCTGCCGGGTTGAGACTTACGCCGCTAAGTGCTCCGTTGGCGAGGTTTGCAAAACGAAACAAAAGTTAACAACGATGACAACCACCACCACCACTTGAGCTCCGGATCTAACGGAGAAAACAAGGGGCATCATCATCTGCAGCAGCAGCAGCATTGATCAAGCCGCGTTCCGACGCTCGCGCAGCGACGGGCGCGGAGGCAGCTCACGGCGACCGCCCTGTCCACAGACACGGCAGCGAGGCCGTGTCTGGGCGTGGCCAGGGCAAAGCTTCAACCGCACCACCAGCACCACCAGCACCAGCACCACCGCCGCCACCGCCCCACCCACCACCACGCACATGACGATCGTGCCTAGCAACGGCGCCTCGCGAAACGTGGCCGACTCGACCGCGCGACCAGTTGCACAGACGTCCACGCGTCAAGCCATGTCGGTTGCGCGCAACCCGAATTGGCGGCGCGCGACTCTCTCCCTCAGCGCCTCCGCCCCCCGAGTGAGAATTGTTAAATTGCCCAGAAAGGCAGACGCTGCCACCCACCCCCACCCACCGTGGCTAAAGCACGGACACGCCGAGCGGCCGCCACTGCCCGTGACGCGACGGGGGGCAGCCGCGGCCTGCGGTGACGAGGAGGAGTGTTTGTGTCGCTCGGCGGCGCGCACGTTGCCAATCAAAACTCAACGTGGGGCCGTGAGCCACGGGGTTCCTTGCCACGCTGGTGGGGGTCAGAGCTCGTGCCGTGCTCACGGTGACTGCTGCGATGGTGGCGACTGCCGGTTGTGGTGGTCATGGCGATGATATTGATTCTGATGGTGACGGTATACATGTTATTTATGTTATAGCGGTGGTAACGGTAATGATATTAGTTATGGCGGTGGTGATGGTGGTGATGTTGCTTATGGTGCTGGTGAAGATATTGATTGTGGTGATGGTGATGACGATGAAGACGGTGGTTGCGGTGGCAATGGTTGCTGGTAACGGTGATGATAGCGGTTGCAAGTGGTGTTGAACATATTGGTTGTTGTGTTGCTACGTGTTGCCAGCAAGTCGTAGCGGTGCCACCGGTAACGGCGGCGGCGCCGTTGCCAAAACAGCGACGGTGGCGGTACGCTCCGGTGTCGTCCGCGGTGACACAGCGCTGACGCGCCGACGGCAACAGCCACCGCTGCCCCGGCGTCGGCTCACCCGCGCCGACAAACACAAAACGATTGGCAAACTCGGCAAGGGCGCCTGCGATGGCACGAGCGGGTGGCCGCGCACGTTCAGGTTGAACACGTTTACGGTCGTAAGCAGCTGCGGTGGTTGCGGTCGTTGTTGTAGCCGTAATAGCGGTTGCAGCCCGGTCTTGGTGGCTGACGGCGGCGGTGGTGGCGGTGGCGCTGCTGCTGTTGCTGCTGCTGCGGCCGGAGGGCTTCAGGGCAGCGCGGGCTGCGGCTGGCTCACCTTGAGGCAGCCCCAGTAGCAGGCTCGCAGCAGCACGGCCAGACCGATCACGTAGATCAGAATCCACGCGGCGTATATCCCACGGTGCTCACGCGCCATCTTCTCCGTGCCCACCTGCATGCCGTGCCCACCCGCACACACCCTCGCTGTCACAATCACCATCGTCATCACCATCCATGGGGCGGGCAGCCCGTAGGTATACCCACTCCACATGTCGTCATTGTCACGCGCATTGGGTTATTTTCGTCTTTTTGTCTTCTACGACCGAAGGCTGAGCACCCTCTTGCCCGACCCTCCCCCTTTTTGTCGAGGCGTGGGGCTGGCTCAGACATCCACTGGATCGTGGACACCCCTGGCTCTACTGCCGTGTAAACCAGGGCTCTCTACACAACAATACGGGCCGATCCCTGGACAGACACCCCACAGACTTCTCATCAGCCTCTAACTTGCTTCTCAACAGGTGGTTCAACATTGAACCATTGCTTACAGGAGAGTGTCCCTATTGATGTCTGGGGAAGCCACCTTTCTCACCTCCTCCCCCCTCTCCCCCCCCCACGTCTCCCCCCTCTCCCCCCCCATGTCTCCCCCCTTTCCCCCCCCCCACGTCTCCCCCCTCTCCCCCCCCCACGTCTCCCCCCCATGTCTCCCCCCTCTCCCCCCCACGTCTCCCCCCCCCACGTCTCCCCCCTCTCCCCCCCCCCCCACGTCTCCCTCCTCTCCCCCCCACGTCTCCCCCCTCTCCCCCCCCTCACGTCTCCCCCCTCTCCCCCCCACGTCTCCCCCCCCCACGTCTCCCCCCTCTCCCCCCCCACGTCTCCCTCCTCTCCCCCCCACGTCTCCCCCCTCTCCCCCCCCCCCACGTCTCCCCCCTCTCCCCCCCACGTCTCCCCCCCCCCATGTCTCCCCCCTCTCCCCCCCACGTCTCCCCCCTCTCCCCCCCACGTCTCCCCCCCCCACGTCTCCCCCCTCTCCCCCCCCCCCCACGTCTCCCTCCTCTCCCCCCAACATCTCCCCCCTCTCCCCCCCACGTCCTCCCCCCTCTCCCCCCCCCCCACGTCTCCCCCCTCTCCCCCCCCCCCACGTCTCCCTCCTCTCCCCCCCACGTCTCCCCCGGTATGGGACCGACCGTGACTCCGGCTCCGATCGCGACAGCAATGAGTCCAAGCACCAGGAAGATGCAGCAGCGTCGCCGTGGAAACCGCCTTCCAATCGACGACCTGATCCATGCAACACACAACACAAAGGTCCCCCCGTGTAGCCTTAACAGACTGTTGGGGCAAGTGCTGTTAGCGAGTGGCACCTATGAAGACGGGCACGGCACACGAGAGAGTGGGTGGCCAGCACCACGCCCGGCCTCCTCTGCTCCCTAGCTGCTTACACAACGCACCAGGTACTCATTTTAGGCTGAGTCGACGTAGGGGAGGCCCAGAACCGAATCAGATAATCGTCACTTGTGTTGGCCGTTTGCGGGAATCGAACTCAGGTCGCCAGGTCCATAGTGGAGAAAGCTAGCCGCTACACTACCACTGCCCACGTGCATGCATATACACAGACGACAACACACACCCTCATACCTATTAATCGGTTAATGAGTGAATAGGCAAATTCAATGCATTACAAAAGAACAAGGAAAGATTGAATCATTGAAAAAGTAAAATATAGTATCGGTAAACACACGATTGAATGAATACATCAGTACATTATTGAATGATGAGTGAATTAGTGAGTGAATTGTAAACATCTGAATCCGGGGCCGATTGACTCCTGGAACAATTTAAACAGCGAACAACCAAAACCACGAATGACTGAAATAAGTGAATCAGTGACCGAGTGAATCAATGAATGAGTGAACCTGGGAATGATTAAAGCAGTGAATGAGTCACCTGTGAATGATTAAAGTGCATGAGTGAACCTGCGAGTGAGTGATGTTACTTACACTTTCTTGCAGTGCGGACACTTGGCCAAAGTGTTATCTCGATACTCGGCCCACTGCGAAGAGCAAAGCGGACGCTCGGTTAACGATTCGTTATTTATAAAAGGCCGTACTTTACCCGCCGTTACGGCCTGCAGCTGATGACAGACGTTTCCACGATCCTATGGCAGGGACCAGTTTATCCACTGAAAAAACAAATTAAGGATGATTAACGTCCCCTGTAGTGGTCCTCATTTTATCGACGCCAAGAGGGGTTGACAACCGAATGGGACGTTGAATGTGTGCGCTGTTCCAACTGTGAGCTCGCCTGGCTGTGTGAGTCTATGAGGCTTGAGTCTATGAGGGTGTGAGTCTGATGCTGTGGAGTCTGAGAGTCTATGAAGCTGTGAGTCTATAAGGTTCTAAGTCTATAAAGCTGAGAGACAATGTACAAGATTTGTGAGTTAGCTTGGCTGCGAGTCTACGAGTCTGTAGGCCTATTGGTGTCTGTGACGCCGTGAGGCTGTGAGTCTGTAGACCTATTGGTATCTGTGACGCCGTGAGGCAGTGAGTCTGTAGGCCTATTGGAGTCTGTGATGCCGTGAGGCTGTGAGTCTGTAGATCTATTGGTGTCTGTGACGCCGTGAGTCTGTAGGCCTATTGGTGTCTGTGACGCCGTGAGTCTGTGAGTCTGTAGGCCTGTTGGTGTCTGTGATGCCGTGAGTCTGTAGGCCTATTGGTGTCTGTGAGGCTGTGAGGCTGTGAGTCTGTAGACCTATTGGAGTCTGTGAGGCCGTGAGGCTGTGAGTCTGTAGGTCTATTGGTGTCTGTGACGCCGTGAGTCTGTAGGCCTATTGGTGTCTGTGACGCCGTGAGTCTGTGAGTCTGTAGGCCTATTGGTGTCTGTGACGCCGTGAGTCTGTGAGTCTGTAGGTCTATTGGTGTCTGTGACGCCGTGAGTCTGTAGGCCTATTGGTGTCTGAGGCCGTGAGGCAGTGAGTCTGTAGGCCTATTGGTGTCTGTGAGGACGTGAGGCTGTGAGTCTGTAGGCCTATTGGTGTCTGTGACGCCGTGAGTCTGTAGGCCTATTGGTGTCTGTGACGCCGTGAGTCTGTAGGCCTATTGGTGTCTGTGACGCCGTGAGTCTGTGAGTCTGTAGGCCTATTGGTGTCTGTGACGCCGTGAGTCTGTAGGCCTATTGGTGTCTGTGAGGCTGTGAGGCTGTGAGTCTGTAGACCTATTGGAGTCTGTGACGCCGTGAGGCAGTGAGTCTGTAGGCCTATTGGTGTCTGTGAGGACGTGAGGCTGTGAGTCTGTAGGCCTATTGGTGTCTGTGAGGACGTGAGGCTGTGAGTCTGTAGGTCTATTGGTGTCTGTGACGCCGTGAGTCTGTGAGTCTGTAGGCCTATTGGTGTCTGTGACGCCGTGAGTCTGTAGGCCTATTGGTGTCTGTGAGGCTGTGAGGCTGTGAGTCTGTAGACCTATTGGTGTCTGTGAGGACGTGAGGCTGTGAGTCTGTAGGCCTATTGGAGTCTGTGACACCGTGAGGCTGTGAGTCTGTAGGCCTATTGGTGTCTGTGAGGACGTGAGGCTGTGAGTCTGTAGGCCTATTGGTGTCTGTGACGCCGTGAGTCTGTAGGCCTATTGGTGTCTGTGACGCCGTGAGTCTGTAGGCCTATTGGTGTCTGTGACGCCGTGAGTCTGTGAGTCTGTAGGCCTATTGGTGTCTGTGACGCCGTGAGTCTGTAGGCCTATTGGTGTCTGTGAGTCTGTGAGGCTGTGAGTCTGTAGACCTATTGGTGACTGTGAGGCCGTGAGGCTGTGAGTCTGTAGGCCTATTGGTGTCTGTGACGCCGTGAGGCTGTGAGTCTGTAGACCTATTGGTGTCTGTGGGGACGTGAGGCTGTGAGTCTGTAGGCCTATTGGTGTCTGTGGGGACGTGAGGCTGTGAGTCTGTAGGCCTATTGGTGTCTGTGACGCCGTGAGGCTGTGAGTCTGTAGACCTATTGGTGTCTGTGGGGACGTGAGGCTGTGAGTCTGTAGGCCTATTGGTGTCTGTGACGCCGTGAGGCTGTGAGTCTGTAGACCTATTGGTGTCTGTGGGGACGTGAGGCTGTGAGTCTGTAGGCCTATTGGTGTCTGTGACGCCGTGAGTCTGTAGACCTATTGGTGTCTGTGGGGACGTGAGGCTGTGAGTCTGTAGACCTATTGGTATCTGTGACGCCGTGAGTCTGTAGGCCTATTGGTGTCTGTGACGCCGTGAGTCTGTGAGTCTGTAGGTCTATTGGTGTCTGTGACGCCGTGAGTCTGTAGGCCTATTGGTGTCTGTGACGCGTGAGTCTGTGAGTCTGTAGGCCTATTGGTGTCTGTGACGCCGTGAGTCTGTAGGCCTATTGGTGTCTGTGAGGCTGTGAGGCTGTGAGTCTGTAGACCTATTGGAGTCTGTGACGCCGTGAGGCAGTGAGTCTGTAGGCCTATTGGTGTCTGTGAGGACGTGAGGCTGTGAGTCTGTAGGCCTATTGGTGTCTGTGAGGACGTGAGGCTGTGAGTCTGTAGGCCTATTGGTGTCTGTGACGCCGTGAGTCTCTGAGTCTGTAGGCCTATTGGTGTCTGTGACGCCGTGAGTCTGTAGGCCTATTGGTGTCTGTGAGGCTGTGAGTCTGTAAACCTATTGGAGTCTGTGACGCCGTGAGGCAGTGAGTCTGTAGGCCTATTGGTGTCTGTGAGGCCGTGAGGCAGTGAGTCTGTAGGCCTATTGGTGTCTGTGAGGACGTGAGGCTGTGAGTCTGTAGGCCTATTGGAGTCTGTGACACCGTGAGGCTGTGAGTCTGTAGGCCTATTGGTGTCTGTGAGGACGTGAGGCTGTGAGTCTGTAGGCCTATTGGTGTCTGTGACGCCGTGAGTCTGTAGGCCTATTGGTGTCTGTGACGCCGTGAGTCTGTAGGCCTATTGGTGTCTGTGAGGCCGTGAGGCTGTGAGTCTGTAGGCCTATTGGAGTCTGTGAGGCCGTGAGGCTGTGAGTCTGTAGGCCTATTGGTGTCTGTGAGGCCGTGAGGCTGAGAGTCTGTAGGCCTATTGGAGTCTGTGAGGCCGTGAGGCTGAGAGTCTGTAGGCCTATTGGAGTCTGTGAGGCCGTGAGGCTGAGGGTCTGTAGGCCTATTGGTGTCTGTGAGGCTGTGAGTCTGTAGGCCTATTGGTGTCTGTGACGCCGTGAGTCTGTAGGCCTATTGATGTCTGTGAGGCCGTGAGGCTGCGAGTCTGTAGGCCAAATGGTGTCTGTGAGGCCGTGAGGCAGTGAGTCTGTAGGCCTGTTGGTGTCTGTGACGCCGTGAGGCTGCGAGTCTGTCTGCGAGCTGGCTTGGCCGCACGACAGCGAGCTGGGCTCGGCGGCGAGGCAACGCCGAAGGCGAGCGTGGTGAGGGCGCGTCGCTCACTCCACACTCACCATGAACGTCTGGCTGCAGTGTCCGCACACCACGCGAGTGCCGAACGGCTGCGATGACTGATTGGCAGCCGCCACCGTCACGGGGCCCAGGTTGATTATCCGCTTGCTGAGTGTGGAACGCACACGTCACACACACGCATTGCAAATGTATGTTACACACACACACACGTCTCACACACACGCACGGTGACGATGTTTACACACCGCACCAGGTACTCAATTGAGGCCGAGTCACCCTAGGGGAGGGCCAGGCCCGATTCAGATAATCGTCACCGGTGTTGGCCGTGAGCGGGAATCGAACTCGGGTTGCCGGGTTCGTAGCGCAGCACTTGTACGCTTGTGTCTGTGAGCGAGCGTTGTACCCGACGGGGTCTCCTCCGCCCGTGCGTCTCTCTGCGCGCGCCTGTCCCCGTGTGCTTGCGTGTCTTTGTGCGCCCGTCTCCTCCGCCCACGTGTGTGCAGTGATCGCAAACGAGGGCACTCACCAGTTGGGCCGGGGGCAGGCGATGCGCTGTGACGTCACCTTGCAGATGAGGAGGCAGTTGCACGGGCAGCGCACGTACTTTTTGCCCGGGGGAGCGTTCTTTATCGGCTGTGGTAGAGGGGGTGGGTGGGTGGGGGGACAAACGCAGGCGGACAAGCGGGTTCAAAAAGGCCCTGCAGCTCGAGAACATTCTCCGATCAACGATCATGGCGAGCCGCCTTCCCGTATACGCCAGGGCTGTCTCGGAGCGCTCCGCACCGCCGCATCTCGTCTCAACACATTTGTTTGAAAGGGCAGCCCCGGGCAGCTGCCCCCCCCCCACCCCCCATCACCGATTGGGAGTTGTGGGGGTGGAGTGTCCGATGGTACAAAATACCCAGGCAGGTGCTTAGTTTTGGTGGGGCTGATGGTAAGGCCCCATCTCTTAGTGGCACGCTCCAGTCTCAGCAGCAGCGCCTCCAACTCCTCCTATGAATGAGCAGCTATTACCAAATCATCGGCATACATAACGTGGTTGAGGAATAGGGAGCCATCCCTTGACCGCACCCGGGCATCGATCAGCTATTGCAGGCTTCACAAACTACGTGGTCAAAATAGATGTTAAATGTGGGAGCCAGAGGACATCCCTGTCGCACCCCAAGGTGTACAGGGAATGGCTCTGACTCCTGGCCACGCAGTTTTACCCGGGGCCCGCTCACCATCATGAAGGTCCTTAATGATCGTGAGCAGAGGGTCAGGGACTCCAAAAGCAGGAAGAACAACCCAGAGCCCAGGCCTACTGATGGTATCATAGGCCTTGACCAGGTCAATAAAGCAGAGAAGTAGGTCTTGTTGGAATTCCCTACACCTCTGCTGTAGCAGTCGAACAGAAAATATGGCATCTGTGCAGGACCGCCCTTTTCTGAAATCGCATTGAGGCTCCGCAAGCCCCTCCTCAGCGTGCCTGGCAAGGCGATGTTGAATAATCCTTGCCAGGACCTTTCCCTGCACACTGAGGAATGAGATGCCCCTGCAGTTGTTACAGTCTGTGCGGTCCCCCTTCTTAAAGAGGGGGACCACCAGGGCATCCTTCCAATCCTGCGGAACCCGTCCAGTGGTCCAGACTGTTGTTATGATGTCATATAGGGCAGTCTGTGCACAAACGCCACACTCCTGCAGCATTTCGCTTGGGAGATCATCTCTGCCCGGTGCCTTTCCTGGTCTCAGACTCCGGATCGCCCTCAGTACTTCCTCAACAGATAGCACCTCAGCCAGCCACTCACAGGAGATGACTTCCTCCAATGTTTGAGGCACCGCAGCCTCAGCAGGGTCATCCCCACTTTGTGCCACGATGTTTTCCTGGCTGAGGGATTTTCCCTCCCCCAGGACCTCACAGAAATGCTCAGCAAATCTACAAACCTGTTCCTGGGGGTCGGAGATTGAATCACCGTTTTTTCCCCTAATGATGGTAATAGGTGTGGCACTGCAGGTTACTTTTTGATGGAGTTAAATAGAGATTTGTGATCGCGGGCCACTGAGGCAGACTCCATCTCCTCAGCAACCCGCGACCACCACCCATCCTTGCAGCGCCTCACGGCTCTCCGAACCTCCGAGCGAAGGCTGCGGTAAGCCTCATCAATCTCTGATGTGGGATTCTGTTGCCGATGACAGTGGGCCTGTCGCTTTTTCTCAACTATCCTGAACACCTCCTCTGTCAGCCAGGGTCTCTGGGGAGGTCTGGACCGTGTACCCAAAGCAGCCATTGCAGCTGCATGAGTCACAGTCCTAAACCTCGCCCATTTATCCTCAACATCAGGAGGAGTGGGGGACGATGCCAACCCCAGCCGCAAGCGATGATGAAATTCTCACTTGCAACTTTCATCAGATAATTGAGACCAGGTCACTTTAGGTTGGAATGGGGTCCTGGGTGTACACCCATCACCGGAGTGGAAGAATGGCATGCGCATCTTACAGATGACTAGTCGATGGTCAGAGGGCAGATCAGCTCCACGGTAGGTCCTGGTGTCAAGGACATGGGCTCACATCCGCTGGTCCGTCACTATGTAGTCCAGCAGATGTTCTTGCTTGGACCCAGCATGCATCCATGATGTTGTGTGGATGCGCCGATGTCGGAACAGCGTGTTGGTAATTACAAGCCCATGGGCTGCACAAAAATCTAGCAGCCTCCTACCGTTGTTATTGAGCTGATCTGGCCCATGCCCTCCAATCACTCCAGACCAGGTGCCAGCATCATGACCAACTCGGGCATTGAAGTCACTCAACAAGATGACTATCCCGAGGGGCCACTTTAGCCAGCACCTGTGACAGGAGATCATAGAAGGCATCTGACTCATCGGCTTTGCCTGCATCCCTCCACGGATGTTCGTCTTCGGTGGGGGCATAAGTAACCACGACCACCACCGCCACACTCTCACGCCCCCTTCATTCTTTTGTTCAAAAGAAGAGCCACACCCTGTTGTTTGGCGGTCTGCTGCCCCGAGTAGAGGACTGTCCACCCCTCATGGTGGCAGGAGCCAGAACTGGTCCACCGGACCTCCTGAATGCCACATAGATCCAGGCGGTACCGGTCCAGCTCCCGACAGAGGAGTGGCAGCCTCTCCTCCGCAGTGAGCGTTCGAACATTCCACGTGGCCACACGAAGTGGCTTTCGTTGTTTCTGGAGGAGCCCCGAGGGTAGAGATTCAATCTCCTGGCTCCGCCAATTGGGGTTTGGCCAGGGGACGTCATGGACGCCTGTCCCCCCGGGGCCTCTGTTGCCCCTACGGGCAACGGCACGCCTACTTTCTTCCACACGTGGGCTGATCGATGCTCGGCGATTTGGTCAGGTTTGTCCGATTTTATTGGATTACAGCGCTGTTCCCTTGACAACACGCACACACGCGCAACACGCACGCAACACGCACGCAACAGTCCCGCTCACCGTGGCCTCGTTGCACACGCTGCACTTGACCACGTGCTGGTGGAGCTTCCCCTCCACGTTGATGAGCGACTGGCACACGCGGCACGTGATCATGGGCACCCCTCCGGAGTCCGGGCTCGTGGTCGGCGTGTACGGAGGGGGCGCCTCGCCGGGGAGGATGGGGGGCGGGCCCCCCGGAAAGCCTGGAAAGCCTGTGACGGGGGGGTGGGGGCCGGAGAGGGAGGCGGGGGGGAGGGCAGGGAGACACATACACAGACAAGCCACGTGGTTTTTCTTAGTGTCGTTAGCGAGTGCCCATTAAGGGCGGAGTGGGGCACCCACGGGGGCGGCGGTGTTGACAGGGCCAAGCCCGGCCACCTTCGTCTTCCCAGTGTCGACGGTAACGCACATCGCTGCGGGTGCTCACATCAAGACTAAGTCGTCGACCTTATAAGAGGATCAGGACCGGTTCACATATCCGCAACCGAATTTTAGGTCGTCACGTTCGTTTGCGCAGTGCGCAAACTACTCTGCCACCACTCCTCCATACATACCAAGACAAAGATCCCCCAAATAGCCTCTTAAGACTGCCGGGCCAAGTGACGTTAGCGAGAGCGCCTGTCAAGGCCGGGCACGGCACAGGAGGGGGTTGGTGTGGCCTGCAGCATACCTGGCCACCTTAGGCCGAGTCAACCTAGGGGATGCCCACGACCGATGCAGACGCAGTCGCGTCAAGACGCCACACAAAACTAAATTCTATTAGAACTGCCAGGCGGCTCAGCGGTAGAGCGAGCGGCTCACAAACTGTAAGGTTGAGTTCACATCCTGGTTGGGGTGTAGGCTCAGCCCATCATCATCCCTGCGGCACCCATAAAGCACCACTTTGTGGGGAAGTCAAGAAGAATGTTGTCCCGAGGCTAGACTTGCCCCCACCATAGGAATGTGGCATTTCCATCACTGGGTCAGGGCTGTAAACACGAGCAGCACACCACTGCGGTGCTGCTGGTTGACTGGGGGGCAGGGTGCAGCAGCATTGATAACAGAACTTGAGCCCTCGCAGCAACAAGGACCTGGGTTTGCATGGGGGTTCCTTTGGATTCTGCGGTTTCCTCCCCATAGCTGATGGAAACACGGACAGTCGAGCATCGATTATCCGGTGACTCCGGGGGTGGGGTTGCCGGATTTTCAAAAACGCTGGGCAATCACTGCACCATCATTATTTGAAATAGCTTATTTTTGGACATTCTAACGTGACGTTATGTTTTAGATGTTGTGATTTTTTTATGCTTTAAATAAAACATGCAAATTAGACAAAAAATAAATATCCCACTGTACAAAGTTCCCGTATTCACTGTACCGCACGGGGTTATGGACATGCACCGCTCTTGTTTCAACAACAACATGATGATGTGTTTGACGATTGCCGGACTGGTTACAGCCTTTGGAGCGGTTTTGCCGGTTTCGCCGAATTGGCCCGGGACCACCGGTTAATGTTGGAAGCCGGATAATAGCACGCCGGATAATTTATGATCAACTGTAGTGTAAGCAGGCATTGGCTTAAGAAAAACGTGCCAATGCTTAAAAATAGACCTACGGATTACTAAATTGGGATCTCGCGCGCAGCAACAATAACGCTCTCCTCCTGCGAAAACTTGGCAGGACCCTGCTGAAAGACAGTCTTGAGTGTTTCCAGGAAAACACCGCGTAAATCGTAATTTTACCATTAAAATTGCCAAAACAATTGAACAAGGAGCATGAACCATCCTCACGCAAACTCCGGTCATCGTCGCAGCAGCAGCAGCCGCTTTTGGCTACCCGTCGAATAAAGACGGCCTCCGTATCGCGCTGCGCTTTCAGACGCGCTTCTGCGGCCGTCTGGAACGCTCTTCCTTCCAACATTAGGAAACCATGGGAGCTGTACACTTTTAAAATCATCATCGAGATTGAAAACGGATTTCTTTAGAACTGCTTTTTCGTGCTTTGTGTTGTTATCCTTTGCCCCGGTGCCAATGTACCGTGCGAAATAAGGTCAACATACGTACAACAAAACAGCTCAGTAAAGGAACGGCGTGATTTGAAGCTGCCCCTATTAAGTTTAATGAATAACCCAGTCTCACGGCTGATGACCTCTGGTCCCGTGTGAAATATTTGACTGCGGGGGGGGGGGGGGGGAGTGGAAGTTCCTGCGAGCGAAACAACAAAGATTTACTGTTCACTTCCTCCTGTTGGCCCACCTTATGGTTTTACGTCCTCTGTGTTGTTTTATCCAAGCCAAATTCTGAGTTAATATGTCGTCTCGCACGTCAAAACAAACGCTGAAGTCGGACCGCTTTCTGTTCCCACGGACGCGTAAAATAAACGCAGACGTCCATAAAAAGAAAGGTGACGCCGACTGTTTTCTAGGCCTGGTCGAGATGGGCCTCACCTACTGAGGTGTTTCTCCTCCACCTCCTGCCCTGCAGCAGCAGCAGCCACAGCGACACAAAACTATGCTATTCTATTTTGGATGTACAGGGTAATCCCCGACTTACGATGGAGATGCGTTACGACGACCCCCATCGTAAGTCGAAAATACCGTAAGTCGAAGATGGCCTGGCCCTACCCAGGAGTCTTAAAGAATGGTGAGAATTTAGCAAAACAGAGCAATTTACAGTACCGTACTGTATAAACTATATACTGTATGTAGTTATTAATTACAATACTGTATTGCACAGTAAAATTTAAAGTAAAAAAACAAGGTAAATTCTTAGCCTACCCATATGAACTGCAATTTCATAGAAAGTTTTTTCAGGAAACAATCCTATCTGCTATAAAAACTTTTAACATGCTTTGAACGTATCCTAACGTATCATATTCTACTGTACTCACCCAGATTCTGTCCATCGTCTGCATACTTGAACGATGATGTTAGGTTGTTACATTAACTTAGTTGCCGGAAGAGGAGGATGGCGATGATAAAAGTTACAGTATCGTACCTCGTACGCTGCTGCGTTTGCCTGCCGCGCAAAATGTAAAATATTTTACAATTTTGTCATATCGCTATCGCCGCCGTAAGATCTAAATATCGTAAGTCGGACCATCGTAAGTCGGGGACTAGCTGTATACAGCGTCCTTCCAGGGCGCGATAGAATGGAGCCGACGTTGGTCAGTGAGGGAGGTGACGGATGGAGGGACAGGGGCTGGGAACGGAGCTGATGTTGCTGGGGTAGGAAAGGCGGAATGAGGTGGAATGTGATGGTGGGCGAGGGTGTCCGATGGGTGCAACGTGGACGAGAGGCAGTGGGGTATGGGGGCACGTGCGTGAAGTGGCGAAATGGCCATGGATGAAGGTAGGTGAAGCGTGGTGGGGGCAGAGGTCCGGTGGTAGGATCGTTGAGCTGATGGAGGAGCACAGTGTAGGGCTTGGGGGAGAAGACACTTTTTTATTTTACCGAGTAAGGCCCACCAATCTATACAGCTCTTGTTTCAGAAGCGACCTGGCTATCACAAACGATAGCTCAACAAAAGAGGCTTATCATCATCACGTGGAAATGTACAGCAGTAGCGAAATACTCTAAATGTGCGAGGACGCCGATTCTAAATATGCGAGGGGAAAATCGGAAGCCACCGAGAAAAATCCACGCTATCACGGGGAGAACACGCAAACTCCAAATCTACAGCAGGCATCGTCAGCATCGGGATCGGACCCACGACTTCCTGCAGAGCAAGCGAGGTAGTTAACATCTCCTAGCCACCACCTCGGCAGAAACATTGTCAATCCACCGTTGGATGAGGGCAGGGATGCATAGAATCGCAGTACAATGATGGATGTGGCTGCACCGTCCTATTCCGTAGAGTGGATACATGCCGAATGGATTTTGTTCTCAAGAAAGAAAAAAAACAACGCCACATTGCGAAATTATGGAATGTATTGATGCGCTGAAGCAAAGGGACGTCACATGATCACAGGTCACCTCTTTTACAACGAAGGAATGCACCACAAGGTGCGCACTTTGTTTGAGCTGCTCAGTGTCAGCCTCAGAACGTCGAGCAGCCAGCAACAAACAGCACCATTTTGCGGCGACGGCGTAACGCGTTTGCCGACTTAAGAAATGCTGCATGTTATTATTACAATGACAACTTGGAAAAAGATAAGCTGATGATGGTGATGATGAGAGGGATGTATATGACTACAGCAGGAGTTGGGCAGCATTGTGAGCATAGGGGCGGCGGTGCAGTCAAACGCATTCTTGTACTGTACTGTGATTCTATTCTCCCTGCCTTCACGAACCGGCACCGGCCAGCGTGCTGCAGCACGATTAATGGGGCAGGCAGTCATCCAGCAGTGGATTGACCATGGCCGATGATGGCAGTGATGGCTTGGGGAGGCCTTCATCCAGCAGTGGATTTGACACAGGTGCTGACTGTAGGCATACATCTAATTGTTAAAAGGTGCAATGTTGATATGGAAATGAAAAAAATGCTGCAACACTTAACTTAAAAGATACACGGCAGTTAAAATCAATGATGTAACGTGGGCAAATTATAATTAATTATAACAATTGACTAATTATAATTTACAGCCATTTGTCAATCTACTGCTGGATACATCTAATCGGATTCCTCCAGCATAGATTAAGATTCCGATTCTGTCTCCTGACGCCGTGCCGGTTATGGGGGCTGTCTGACCATACTTCGCCACGCTGGTAGAGTGTGGGTTGGTGAACCAAGGGAGAAGAACGGAGGCTCGGTGTGGGGTGGTGGCCAGTACCGGTTGTGATATCTCTCGCCAGCGATGCGAGCCGTTCCCGGGTGGCGGGTCCATAGCGTGGCACACCGCGCCCCCCATCTCCCCAGCCCTTAAGTGTATCGCGTGCACTGTAGCAATGTCATCATCATCAACAACAATGGTCACATCATACCTGTCAATCGATACGGTTCACCCAATATTCTTGTACAGGGAAATTGAGTTTTTCAGGTCCATACAGTGTACAGCCGTTTCAATATGGGCAACAAAAACTGTCTATTAGTTTGTTTCTCCCTTGTGATGTTGTGATGTGACTTTTCAGGATGAACGTTGAGATTTATAAGGGGCACGGGGTGACCAATACGGTCTGAATTGGTCTGTAATAAGGTAGGGCACTGACAAGGGGTTGACAGGCATGTAGGGTCACTCCACTGCTGGATGAAGCCACCACCGCTCCGTGTCGGCTTTGGGTGGTTTATTTCACGAGGCTGGGACCGGAGCTCGGTCGATGATGCACGGCTGGCGAGGAGGGGCGATATTCTCCACCCATTAAAATTGCATCGCCCCGACGATGTTCGCTGCAACACCGCATTTTAGCCGTGTCGTTGCTTTACGGTGAAAAGTGCAAACTGTGAACGAATCCACAAATCCGGCCTTCGGGGGGGGGGGGGGGGGTGAGGGGGTTATCGGTGAATTATCACCGGCCAGGGTCTACCCACTGCTGGACGGAGCGGGCCTCCTTCCACGAGGCCGTCGGTCAGACCGGTCGGCGATGCACAGTCGGCGGCGTGCCAACTGCTGCCACACCTCGCAGCGGCACTGGAGACCCATCTCAAGTGGACAAAGGTATATAGAACAACGTCGACGACGATGATGATGAAAAAATAACAAACACGAATCTTCATTTTTTTTAATATGACGTGAAAAAGAAAGGGGATGCATCTTCTGGGTTCTTTCGGTAAAGTCACGTAGAATGGAGATAAAATAATAAAAAATTATAATAATAGAATAAAATTCTCACGACGTTTCGGCCACAACACAAGTAGCCTTCCTCAGGTGAAGAAACAGGACTGTCCGGAAGACAGCGCTTGAGTGAACACTGTCAAGCTTGACGTCTTTTAAGCTGTGTGGGAGGAACAGAAAAGAAAGGGGATAATTTGTTTCTCAAAGATGAATTGCTGCCCGCTGAGGTGGTAGAGACCACGTGGCAGGGATTGGGCAGGGAGGAGAGGAAGGCTTTAAGCCAGCAGCGGATAGAGCCTGACACCAACAACTTGTTTCGTACGGCTGCTGATGTCGATCGAGACAACGACTGGACAGAGACAACGACTGGAGAGACAGAGACAACGACTGGACAGAGACAACGACTGGAGAGAGACAACGACTGGACAGACAGAGACAACGACTGGACAGACAGAGACAACGACTGGACAGAGACAACGACTGGATAGAGACAACGACTGGACAGAGACAACGACTGGAGAGACAGAGACAACGACTGGACAGAGACAACGACTGGACAGAGACAACGACTGGACAGAGACAACGACTGGAGAGACAAAAACAACGACTGGAGAGACAGAGACAACGACAGACTGAGACAACGACTGGATAGACAGATACAACGACTGGAGAGACAGAGACGACGACTGGACAGAGACAACGACAGACAGACAGAGACAACGACTGGAGAGACAGAGACAACGACTGGACAGACAGAAACAACGACTGGAGAGACAGAGACGACTGGAGAGACAGAGACAACGAGAAACAGAGACAACGACTGGACAGACAGAGACAACGACTGGACAGACAGAGACAACGACGAGAGAAGACATGAGGAGCAGTAGCGGAGTGGCGCTATCGGCTGTGACGATGAGGATCGGGGCAGTGCGTCGTCACACGTTGTGCTGTTAGGGTCTCTGTTGTGGATGACCCACAGCGGCACACCACTACTGGGCAAGTCAATAATCATCACAACCACCACCACCACTAAGTATAAAAATAGGTTTTGCCCTTTCTGGAAATAAAATAGAAGTTGTGTTAAGATGTTTAAAACACCAAACAAAACCTTTGGAAGGAATTCAGTCTGCATTAACCACATGCAGTACTTGTGAACATGTAAAAAACATGGTTCTGATAACAGATGTACTGTATTGTCTTTAATAATAATGTAACTATACTGTTACATGGCATTGTCTTTGAAACCGACTTATCTACACCAGAGACAGCAGCAGCCTTCTCTTAAGGGGCCTCGTCTCACCACCACCAGTGTCAGACCAGAGAACAACGCTTAAAGGCGAACATCACAAAGACAATGCCACACGTATCAGGGCATTTATAATATCTTGGGGTGAGCAGCCACAACATGGGACCACAATCAAAACCAACATGGGGCCACCACCAACATGGGGCCACCACCAACATGGGACCACCACCACATGGGTCCGCCACCACAACATGGGTCCGCCACCACCACATGGGTCCGCCACCACCACAACATGGGTCCGCCACCACCACAACATGGGTCCGCCGCCACCACAACATGGGTCCACCACCACCACAACATGGGTCCACCACCACATGGGTCCACCACCACCACAACATGAGCCCACCGCCACCACATGGGCCCACCACCACCACAACATGGGTCCACCACCACAACATGGGTCCACCACCACCACAACATGGGTCCACCACCACCACAACATGGGTCCACCACAACATGGGTCCACCATCACCACAACATGGGCCCACCGCCACCACAACATGGGTCCACCACCACCACAACATGGGTCCACCACCACCAGCAAGTGGTGGACAAATCTCCCCCCCAGCCCGTCCCACATTTCCCAGCGCGGATCGGCTTCCGTCTCGGCGGCGGCCTCCCCCCATTGGCCGAGCCGGCCAATCCACTGCGAGGCCGGCGCGGACCAATCGCGGCGCGAGCTCGCGAGCCCAGCGGACCAATTGGCGCGGCGCGGCGCCTAAGCGCGCTACGAAATACAAAAGCCTCGGTGGGGGGGTGAGAGTCCCTCAAATCTTGCCTCTCAAAATCCTATAAGGTCCCAAAATCCTATAAGGTCCCAAATAAGCTAACAGCTGTCAACCCACAGGGTTTAAGCCCGTATTCTTGTACGGGGAAAATTCTAGTTTTCGGGTCCATACGGCGTACAGCCGTTTAAATACGGGCAACTAAAACCGTGTTTTTTTTATTTAAAGATTTCGTGACTGCAGGGATTTATATTCTTGGTTCTTTCGGTAAAGTCACCACGTAGAAGGGAAACAATAAAATAATAAAAATATATATAAAACAATAAAATTCTTTTTTTTATTGTTTCCCTTCTAAGGTTGACTTTACCGAAAGAACCAAGAATATGAAACCGTGTTGCCTATTTGTGTTCGTGTTTCTCGCCTTGTGATGGGACTCTGTAGGATTAACGTTGAGATGTATAAGGCCTTTATTATTGATCTCTAATTATGTAGGCACTGGTAAGGGGTTGACGGGCATGCACAGCTAATAATAATACTATTATTACCAACTACCGCTGTTTATGTCACAGGAGCGGGAAAGGCCTCGACTACCGTAATGTATCGATCGCTCTATGATATTTCTAGAAGCGACCTGGCGATCACACATTATCGCTTCAACCAAAGTGGCGGCTCCTCCTGCTCCTCCTGCTCCTCGTCGTGGTCGACAATGTGGAACGCGTGGTGATGTTGACACGCGACCACGGAGAGAGAGAGACACACAAACACTCCAAATACACAGCAGCAGCAGCAGGAGGCATCGTCAGGGTCGGGATCGAACCCACGAGCTCCTTGTAAACCAGGCGAGGTAAAGTCGTCAACATCTCATAGCCACCGTGATGATGAGAGACGCAGACTCCAAATACACAGCAGCAGCAGGAGGAGGAGGAGGCATCGTCAGCGTCGAGATCGAACCCACGAGCCCCTTGTAAACCAGGCGAGGCAAAGTCGTCAACATCTCCTAGCCACCGCATTTAATATCCCAACTCCACCTTTCTTTTTCCACATCAGACGAAGCGCGCACGCAACTCACCGACCGCATTGGCGCCCTCGTCGAAGGTGGGCGCCGACGGAGTGACATTGCCGGAGTTGTTCACGGAGAGGAGCGGCGACCGCTCGTCCGTGTTGTCGGCGGCCATGGCTCGGGCAGGGGGGGCGGGTCTCTCGTGTGGGGGGCGGGGCCCCTTGTTGAGATTGTGGGGGGGGTGGGTGACGTCACCGGACGCACGCGCGTGAGTGACGTCAAGCGAGAGTCACGCGCGCGTTCGCGACGACGGGGCGTCGCTCCCGCGTCCGTGACGTCGGCCACGTTACTCCTCGCGTTCGTGACGTCGCGGGCATTACTCTCGCGCACGTGACGACACTCGCGCGCTCGTGACGTCATCCGTGTCACTCTCGCGCACGTGACGTCACACGCGTAACCGCTTGACCCCGCCAAACTGAATGTTGCCCCCTAGTTCAGTTTAATTTATTTTTGTATAGCCCTGTGAGCCATTCGGCTCTTGAATCGGGTGCATCCACAACAAACAAAAACACCCAGGGGGAGTCGGTGATGTTGATTCTGAATGTGGAGGGGGGGGGGGGCAGAGAACGCGGAGAAAAGCCACGCGACCACGGGGAGAGACGCAGACTCCAAATATACAGCAGCAGCAGGCGTCAGGGTCGGGATCGAACTCACGACCTCCTGTATACCAGGTGGGGGAGTTAACATCTCCCAGACACCGTGATGATGATGAGAGACACGCAGACTCCAAATATACAGCAGCAGCAGGCGTCAGGGTCGGGATCGAACTCACGACCTCCTGTATACCAGGCGGGGGAGTTAACATCTCCCAGACACCGTGATGATGATGAGAGACACGCAGACTCCAAATACACAGCAGGCGTCAGGGTCGGAATCTAATCCACGACCTCTTGTATACTAGGTGGGGGAGTTAACATCTCCTAGCCACCGTGATGATGATGATGAGAGACACCGCAAACTTCAAATATGCAGCAGGCGTCAGGGTCGGGATCTAATCCACGACTTCCTGTATACCACGCAAAAAAATTAACATCTCGCCACAAAAAATGATTCTCTCGCAAACTCAGACCAGTGGGAAGTGTGACTCGGGGTTTTATCGGTAGAAACGTCCAGAAGATGAGTTCTGGAAGTGTCAAGTCTCAAGGATTACCCTTTTGATTCGGTTCATCAGTCTTTTGAGTGTCTCACGGTCACAGATTCTGAAGATGTTTGTTAACTGTTGTAAACACGAACACATTCCGCCCTATGTATTGCAAGGCTACTGCCAATGGCCCGGGTCTAATGTCCAAGCTCGATAAGTCATGCCTTTGCTTACACTGAGAAACGAACGGGGAAACTCATAACTACTACGGTATTTCATTTATTTCGGCGGGGTTCACTCAGGAGTGAACATAACCATATTGCTGCTACGTAAACTCATTTAAAAATCTCCCACTCCGAAAGTGGACTCGTCGTTGCCCGCTACATGACAGCAGTTCAATGTTTCTGTGCATCAGTTGCTTGGGAAATGTGCCGCATATTTTCAGATAAACAATCCATTGTAATGTCTATGTTTAAAAAAAACGCCTCCCCGATCGTTGTACCTGCTATAGCCTCGCAGCGATGACATCAGCTCGCTCTATCGGGAGTATTTATTTAGACTGCAGGAGGAATCCGATGAGCTATAAAGCTTTTTGACAGATGTCCAATATTAAGACCAAAAGCAGGAAGATTTCTTCACAATTCGCCTGATGAAGCTGGTTGCAATCACCAGCGAAACATCGAACTCGGTTATAAATGTTGTGGGTTTACTCGCCACCACACCGGCGTGTTGAAAAGCAAATTGCCACGTTTTGTTCACGTGGCAAACATTAAAAATTGGCCGTGTCAGGTGGTGGTGGGTTCACGACACATTTATAATGACGCGATCTAACCCCGGGTAAAAAAAAAAACCCTTCTTTCTAATGAACACGACTGGTCGCTAAAGCAGACGCTTTAAATGTTTGGGTTTCCCTCTCTCAAGTTTCTTGGCTTTTTCTCCGCGGGGGAAACCAAACTGGTGCGCCGGTGTGCGAGGTGGGACGTGGGCGTCTCGTGACGGACGGCGACAGCTCGGACAGCCCTTCACCCAAGCAGCGGCGTGAACACGGCAGACGATGACGGTGGTGGTGTCTTTATTGAATTATCTGCGCATCAATGCGCTTTTGTTAAAAAAAAACACAAAAGTTGGGGGGTGAAGATTTCCCATGGCAGGCTCCCAACAACTCCCGTCTTGCGTGCCCTCCGCGACGGGGAGCCGCATTCTCCGGACCACGCACACGACACGCGCGCTTCCCCTGCATGTGAAGTTAAAAGTTTGGCGGTGCGTCTTATAATGTGGTTGGGGGCACAGGTTGAGTGCATCTTCCAGCCATCTCGGTCAGTCGACCCACGGCACCTGCCTGGGTCTGTGACCATCCTGGCAGCGGGCGGTCGACACTTCACGTGCCCTCAACGTGCACCTAGCCTGGCACAGACGCCGTGGGGACGTCACCGCCACTTCGTGGTTGTTGTTGTTGCTGTTGGTAGTATGCACACGTTGCGTGCTTCATGCGTGTCAACTGTCGTCAAATAATTTGCCTTTTGTTGTATCGGTGAACCCCGGGGGTCACTCTTGCAGATGAGACGTTTTCTACCCCGGTGCACGGTCTCTTCTCGACTTCTCAGCTGGTTACACAAAATCAGCTTGAGCCATGATGTGGATGGTGTGTCAATGTGTCGTGTGTGGGGAGCGGCGGTGCAGTGATTAGCGCGGCCGTGCGACAATCCCTGCGTCCAGAGTTCAATTCCTGCTCACGACCGACGCGAGTGACGATTATCTGAAGCGGCTCTGGGCCTCCTCTAGGTCGATTACGCATCAAATTATTACCTGGTGGGGTGGGTAAACATCGCCACTGGGGAGACAAAGGCGTCCGGGCGTGGTGCTGGCCACTCTCCCCCTCGTGCGCCGTGCCGGCCTTCGTAGGTGCTGCTCGCTAACAGCACTTGCCCCAACAGTCTGTTAAGGCTACACGGGGGATCTTTGTGAGGAGATCTGTATAATTTTGACGCCAAGCACAAAATTGGAGCGGGTCTTACTTTCCGGTGCGTCTTAATCACCCGGAGACACGTGAAAGGAGCCCCATTCATAACGCACGGCCTCCCAAACCACCAGGGATCCCGACAAACTCCGGTTATCACGTTTGGCGACGCACGGTGCGAAGGGCGCAGGTCCTGCAATTGCTTACACCACTACTGGCACAAGGGCCTCCACTCGAAGGAGCTCCAGAGCAGTGTTCCTCACTCATTGTCAGAGGGCGGGGGAAGGGGGGGGGGGAGCCACCGTCGCCGACGAGATATCAGAAGTGCGAGGGCCGCCACAGTGCATGCAAGACGTTAACGCAATGCTGCGTATTGTCGGGGGGGGGGGGGGGCCGCACGTCAAGGGCCGCGCTAAAGAACACCGGGGGCCGCCCAGTGGCCCGCGAGGCCTTGCAATGGAGAACGCCGCTCTCGAGGGTCCGTGGCCCAACTCTTCCACGCGGGCCAGAGACCTTGGTCGAGGCGGTAGGCAAACCCACACTCTAACCCACCATGGAGGACCTCCGTACCGATCGACTGGGGCGTACGTACATCGACCGCTGGGTGGACGGGCGGCAAGGGGCAGGGAAGTTTAAGGAAACTACGGCGAGCGCGGTTGGCTACGTACGGTGTGAAAGAAGTTTAACACGAACATACGCACGACTTGCGCCACTGTTTGAATGATGGGGGGGGGGGGGGGGGGGGGCAAAAATATATTCGGATGCTGTGCTCGAGCATTTGGAGGAAAAAAAAAAGCAACGTTTCGTGTTTTTTTTTTTGGATAGTCGCGCAATTGCTCGTGCAGCGTGCGCCACGGGGGCAGGTGTAGCGAGTTGGCAGGGCAGCACGACGTCGCACGCGGCCGACTTGTGCGGGCGGATTTGTGGAAAGGTCAGGACACGTGAACGTCCGCACGGAGCGGCAGTCATGCCCTGCACTGGGTGCAGGCGGCTTAAATTGGTCAGGCGGACGGGTGACGGTCGGATAAGCGACGCTGCTACTGCGCCCGCTCTGAACCGTCGCTACGACGACGTCCTGAGTCCGGGGGAAGGCGACGTGACCCAGATGCAGCAGCACATTCACCCCGCTTGCTTGCTGGTAGAGGTTCACGGTTTAAAATCCAGTGGGGCTGCCCCGATTCGCACCGCGCTGTGTCATATCCGACATTAACACCGTGCTGTGTAATATTCAAGATTCACACCGCGTTGTGTAATATTAAACATTAACACCACGTTGTGTAATATTCAAGATTCACAGCGCGCTGTGTAATATTCAACATTAACACCGCGCTGTGTAATATTCAACATTAACACCGCGTTGCGTAATATTCAACATTAACACCACGTTGTGTAATATTCAACATTAACACCACGCTGTGTAATATTCAACATTAACACCACGTTGTGTAATATTCAAGATAAACACCGCGTTGTGTAATATTCAACATTAACACAACGTTGTGTAATATTCAAGATAAACACCGCGTTGTGTAATATTCAAGATAAACACCGCGTTGTGTAATATTCAAGATAAACACCGCGTTGTGTAATATTCAACATTAACACAACGTTGTGTAATATTCAAGATAAACACCACGTTGTGTAATATTCAACATTAACACCACGTTGTGTAATATTCAACATTAACACCACGTTGTGTAATATTCAACATTAACACAACGTTGTGTAATATTCAAGATAAACACCGCGTTGTGTAATATTCAAGACAAACACCGCGTTGTGTAATATTCAACATTAACACAACGTTGTGTAATATTCAAGATAAACACCACGTTGTGTAATATTCAACATTAACACCACGTTGTGTAATATTCAACATTAACACCACGTTGTGTAATATTCAACATTAACACCGCGTTGTTTAATATTCAACATTAACACCGCGTTGTGTAATATTCAAGATAAACACCGCGTTGTGTAATATTCAAGATAAACACCGCGTTGTGTAATATTCAACGTGATTCGCAGGAGGGGGCCATCGCGCATGCCGGTGCCACGGTCCAATCTTCGCCGAAATCGAAAAAACGACACCGCAAAGTCACTCGAAGGGGACTGAACCACAACACAGCAGCAGCTGCAATCATGGCATTCCCCGCCCCGCCCCCTACTGGCAGACTAATGGCCCAGGTCACTCTTGCTCAATGAGATTCTCCCGGTCTCTTTGAGTTACACTAAATAAAATGAACGACGCGAGGTTCGGAATGGCGGAGTGCGTCGCCGCGTGCCGCCGAGTTTCCGGGTCACTTTCCCTTCTTGAACTTCCCGCCCGCGGCCGGCTTGGATTTCTTCTTGGCCGAGCCCTTGGGCTCCGGCTGCTAAAAAAAGAAAAATATATATTTATATATATTTTTCCTTCTGAGAACTTACCTGCAAATTACTCAATTGGTATCACACACACAGCAGCAATATCGACCCACCCCCCCTAATGCGAAACACTTGGCAGGACCCTCCTAAAAAAAGAGTCTTCGGACTCATACTTTCCTGGGTATACTAGTGCAATAATAATAACATAATCGAATTCTTTCTTAGGGTACCAGAGTTATAGTTTCCTGCAGTTCAGTGTCACATGCACTGACAATTTAACTCAATGATTTTTCACGTGCAATCACCACTGCACTTGAGATTCACAACCAGATTTGTGAGTCTCTGGGTCTATTTCTGAGTCTATGGATCTCTGTGCGAGTCTATGGGTCTCTATACAAGTCTATGAGTCTCTATCAGAGTCTATAGCTATCTATATAAGTCTATGAGTCTCTACGCGAGTCTGTGGGTATCGATATATATTTGTAACTGTATAGAATTATTGTTTATGGGCGTATTTACGTGGTGGCATTTTGGGTGGCAGATTTGTGCCAGAATTGTGCTTCACGTGTTGAGCAAAAAATAAACAAGTCACCGGATACATACGGTGCGAAAGAAGTTCAACGTACGTATACAGACAACGGATAACGACTACTACTTAATATTTTACTGAGCTACATAGCTTTTTTTCGGAAGCGACCTGGCCACAAATGATAGCTCAACGAAGTGGCTTATCACGTGGAAATCTATAGCAGCAGACAAATACTCTAAACGGGTGACGTTGAGTCTAAATGCAGAGGGAAAAACCGGAGGACCAGGAGAACATTCCATGTGACAACAGGGAGAGAGACGACACGCAAACTCCAAATATTCAGCAGGCGTCAAGTGTCAGGATCGAACCCATACCAGGCGAGGTATTTAACATCTCCTAGCCACCGTGATGATGATGATTATGAGAGAGAGACACGCAAATCCAAATATACAGCAGGCGTCAGGGTCAGGATCGAACTCAAGACCTCCTGTATACCAGGCGAGGTAGTTAACATCTAGCCACCGTGGCGCACCTACGAACGATCGGGCTGAGACCACAAATTCGCTACACTTGATAACCTCCGGTGTAATTTGCTGTGGTTGGCAGGCTAAAACCCAGATTGGGCACCCAGGGCCTCGGCAGCGCTGGGCGCAGCGTCTCCAACCTTTCGAGCGACCCGGCCAGACGAGCACCGACCCCAACGCAGGGAGCCGTTAACGACGCCCGGCACCGACCTTGCGTTTGGCGGAGGTGATTGAGCCGGTGATCTTGAAGAAGTCGTCCATGCGCACCTGCGTCGTCCCCTGCTTGCTCTTCAGAAGCTTCTTCACTCCGTTCCGGATGCGGTCCTCGCTGCGGGCGCGAGAGAGGAGGGCGTCGCGAGCGCGTCAAGCGGGGTACCGCCTGACGTCACGCGCACTGAACGCGTGCGTTTAGAGAGGCGACGCTCACAACAATGAGCAGACTACCGGGTGGATAAAACGCAGCAGGTTGGCACAGTGGGGAGCACAGCTGGTGCATCTGCCAGTCATCTCAGTCAGTCGATCCATGGCACCTAGCTCTGTTCCATCGCCTCCTGCCGGCAGAGCCTTATAAACTTCACGTGGCCTCAAAGTGCACCTAGCCTGGCACGGGTGCCGTGGTGACGTCACTGCCACTTTGTGCCGAGTGGCGGCTGTTGGTACCGACTGACGTCACGTGCAATGAAAGTCTATCCACTGCTAGATGAAGGCCTTCCCAAGCCGCCACACTCTCTCAGGGTCCTGTGAGTCACGAGAACATCTTTGCTGTTTTGATGTCTAACTCTATATGTTAAAAGTTGTATCTTGCTAGAGAATCTTAGCGCTGTTAATACATTTTAAATTGGGGTCTGCGATGGCCTGGGAATCGTCCGTAGACTCGCCACTGATTTACAATTCCCGAATCTCAATTTCAAATGGGGTGGGATTGTGGCGATTCAAATGCTGGCTACAAGATGGCGATAGCCCAGCTGGAGTTACATTCACGTGCAACGATATTTTAGCATGGGAATGTTTAGCATTAAACACACACACATACTTCACTACTACTACCACCACCACCACAACAGCAACAACCACCAGTAGCACCGCTATCAGCACCACAATCACTATCATCAAAGACAAAAATCCGCCGTACAGCCTGTAAGACTGTTTGGGCAAGTGCTGTTAGCGAGCACCTATGAAGGCCGCCACAGCACACGAAGTGGCTAGCACCCGCTAGGTCACCTTTGCCTCCTTAGTGGCTATGCTTACACATCGCACCGGGTACTCATTCGAGGCTGAGTGGACCTCCGGGAGGCCCAAGACCGGTTCAGATAATCGTCACCGATGTTGATGGCCGCGAGCGTGAATCGAACCAGGGTCGCCTGGGTTCGTAGCGCAGCGTAGCGCTAACCGCTGCACCACCGCTCCCCTACCACCATCCATCCATCCAGATGCCTGCCTTCGATCTCCAAAAGGCGTCAATGGGTGCAGTTAAACCGCTTCCGCTGTGACCAGGGAGAGTGTGTTGCTGCTTCCAAACATCGATGGGGCGTGCTACGTGACAGCCCACTTCTGTGTGAATGCGGGGAGCCAGGAGGAGACCGCGGGGAGCCAGGAGGAGACCGTGACGCACCATCGTCCACGGCTGTGCAGTGCGTCAGGGCGTGATGGGCGGACCGGTTGCCCTGCACGTGCTGGAGGAGGTTGCAAAGTGGCTCTGTGGCTACATGGGGGGGGCTGACGGCCACTCAAAAACATTTATTTATCTAAATATATATTTAGCATACATGTTTTGACCTGTAGAAAGTCAAGTGAAATAGCGTTCGCTAAATAAAAACCACCACCGCCGCCGCCGCCGCCACCACGACCGCCCCTTGGCCCTGCATCTCACTTAAACTGCTTCTCCTGCACCATAAAGGCCACCAGTCCCTCCTCGTCAGGCTCGTTCCACTTCAGATCCACCTCCTCGGCGTCCACCACCTCGGGCTTGAGGAACAGCTGCCTAGCCTCCTGGTACAGCCAGTTGTCCGGCACGGGGTACTTCTACTCGCACGCGGGGAGCCAGAGAGAGAGGGGGGGAAAGAGCGAGAAGGGGAGAGAGAGAGAGGGGGGGGACAGAGCGAGAAGGGGAGAGAGGAGAGAGAGGAAAGAGAGAGCGGGGAGGGGAGATGAGGAGAGGGGACGAGTGGACAAGAGCGAAGGAGAGAGGAGCAGAGAGGGTGAATGAATTGGACAGCCAGGTCCAGCCTTACCACTATGATCATCATCATCACACACACACACAAATCCACAGATCCCCTGTGTAGCCCACACCAAGACTGTTGGGGCAAGTGCTGCCTGTTGGGGCAAGCACCAATGAATGACAGCACGGCCACACGAGTTCGTGTGGCCAGAACCACGCCCGGCCACCTTTGACTCTCCAGTGTTGATGTTTACACGCCGCACCGGGTACTCATTTAAGGCTGAGTCGACCTAGAGGAGTCCCATGCAGATAATCGTCACTGGTGTTGGCCTCTCGCTACCCACGTTGGCCCTGGTCACAGAGACGGAGCAATGAAATCGAGTCGTGTGCAGGAGCTGTATGGATCGTCAAACTACCCAAATGGGATCGTGTGCACCGAACATCGCCCTGCACTGCTGTAAACCTAAAACTAAACCATTTTTATTTTAACAGGTAAGGCCCACTGAGCTGTATAGCTCTTTTTCAGAAGCAAGCTGGCCACAAGTGATAGCTCAACAAAGTGGCTTATCATCATCATCATTGTGGAAATGTATAGCAGCCAAATACTCTAAAGGCGTGATGTTGAATCTAATTGTGGAGGGAAAAATCAAAGGACGCGGAGAAAACTCCACGCGACAATGGGGAGAGAGACACGCAAACTCCAAATATACAGGAGGCGTCAGGGATGAGATCGAACCCGCAACCTCCTGTATACCAGGCAAGATAGTCAACATCTCCTAGCCACCAAGGTGCCCAGGACCCTCCTTAAAACGAGAATCTTGAGACTCGACGAGCCTTTCCTGAGTAAATCAGCGTAATCGTAATAATCAACAGCGATCGATCTTTACACCATCGCTGGATGGTGAGAGATGGAGGTGTCTTGAGGAGGCGGACGTCATCCAACAGCGGAGAGTTCATGCTGGCGACGACGATGATCACAATGACGACGATGAGCAGGTGACGCCGCTCACCTTGGTGTCGATGTGCTGCAGGATGGCCTCGATGCGCTTGTATTGTCGCACGAGCTCGATGGCCCGCTTGGGCCCGATCCCCCTGATGGTCTCGCAGTAGTCGCAGCCCAGCAGGATACACAGGTCGATGAACTGTGGCGAGGGGTGGCAAGGGGTGGCGAAGGGTGGCGCAGCGGTTAGAGCACTGCGCTCCTAACCCGATGACCCGAGTTCGATTCGACATCAGCGACGAATATCTGAACCAGTCCTGGGCCTCCGCTAGCTAGCCTCAAACGAGTGAGGTGTGTAAAACATCAGTTCTGAGGGAGACAAAGGTGCCCGGGCGTGGTGTATTGGCCACACCGTACCCCCTCGTGTGCCGTGCCAACCTTCATAGGTGCTACTCATGAACAGCACTTGCCCCAACAGTCTGTTAAAGCTAAACGGAGGATGTTTGTCTTTGGGGGTGAGGGGGTAGCAATTGAAACAGGGTGGCAAGCGTAGCGCAGCGATGACGCAAGTGCCTAACAGCGAGAAGGGCCGAGGATCAATTCCCGACTCGGGCGCTTTTCTGTATGAATGTTTGTTGAAATTCTTTTGCACCGTACGTAGCCAACCGTGGTAATCAGAGGTGCGGGGGGGGGGGGGGGAGGAGTTTGTGTGTCGTCTCTCCCCCTGTTCTGCATGGGTGTCCTCCATGATCTCCGGTTTCCCTCCCATAGCTAAAATCAACACACGCAGTGTACCAAGCGGTATTGATGAAAACATCCCAACATTGAAAAATCATCCGCAAATTACGACATTTGGGGTTAACCCTGGCAACATCGCCACCCCTACTGACGGTGCATCGCGGTCCTCCCGTCCTTTTTGAGCGGCTGTGACCCGACTGACAGCAACAGCAGCAGCGATGCAGCGACAGACAATACTTGGCACCGGTTCCACCATAATTACGCCTCGGCACAGCACAAGCAACGTGGGGGGGAGGGGGCCCGTTAGCGTGTATGCCGACGAGTCCCCACTTACAAACACCGCGAGGCCCGTTCGATAGGCCGATGCCAACCACGATGAAATCTGTAAATGATGGGAATATGCCATCATCGCAACAGAATAACAGCGCGGGCGGCAAAACCACGAGATTCGGACAACGCACAGACGCCTTGTCCACGTCACACGGTCTCTGTGCATTATAGAAAAACCATCAAGTTCCTGGATAAGTGGATCACCATCATCGTCATCCTTACCTCGTCATGTGAAAGCTTTATCTCCTCCAGAAGCTTCGTGAAGTGGAACTCCTGAATGGGCAGTTTTCTGGAAAATTTAACACGCGGGGACTTTGATGGGCGACACACCGAAACAGACCGAGACACACCGATACCAATACTCGCCAATTGCCACTAAGTGACGGTGACGTCACCACAGCGCCTGTGCCAGGCCAGGTGCACTTTGAGGCCGCGTGAAGTGTCAAAGGCTCGCTGACAGGAGGTCTCGGGACAGACCCAGGTGCCGAGACACACACACACGGACACACAGACGGAGACAAAATAAACTCACACACACAGACAGACAAACAGATACAGAGAGACAGAGGGCGACACAGACACAAAGAGACACACAGAAACAGGTGGAGACAGAAACAAAGTTTCCCCGTATAGCCGTAACAGACTTTTGATTAAAGTGCTGTAAGTGAGTACCACCTATGAAGGCCGGCACGGCACACGAGGGAGTGGGGTGGCCAGCACCAAGCCCGGCCGCCTTTGTCTCCCTAGCGGCGATGTTTACTACACACCGCACCAGGTACTCATTTGAGGCCGAGTCGACCTACACACACAAACTCTATCCCACACAGGCGCGCTCACGCACACACACGCGTCGCAACGTACTTGGCCTCGCTGGCCGTCAGGTGGCGAAGCAGGACCCCGGTGCCGAACGTGAGCCCGTCCATGTCCTCGGTGGCCGTGGCAAACACCTTGCCGGCCTTCACCAGCGCGGCACAGCTCGCCTCCGCCTCGCAGGGGGCCTACCACGCACACAAATATCCTCCGTGTAGCCTTTAACAGACTGTTGGAGCAAGTGCTGTTAGCGAGCAGCACTTATGAATGTTGCCACGGCACACGAGGGTGTGGGTGGCCAGCACCACGACTGCCCGCCTTTGTCTTCCTAGTGACGATGTTTACACACTGCACCAGTTACTCATTTGAGGCTGAGTAGACCTAGGGAAGGCCCAGGAACGGTTCAGATAATCGTCATCGATGTTGGCCCCTGAGCGGGAATCGAACTCGGGTGGTCGGCTTCGTAGCGCAGCACGCTAACCACTGCCTCACCGCTCCCCACACACCCAGCGTTACGCACACAGCATGCACCACACACGCAGTCACACGCAGTGCAGCATGCTCCGCCACAAAGAGCGTCACACACACAGCGTCATACACGCGGCGTTATACACACAGCACAAACAGCACACACGCATAGTCACACACAGAGTAAGGCGCGTGCAGTCACACACGAGCGTCACGCACACATGGTCATAAACGCAGTGGGGCACGTACAGCCAAACGCAGCATTACGTACGAAGCGTCTCGCACATATTGCGTCAAAACAAGATTTAACGGGGAGGTGGGGGGCTTCGTCTCTGCCGACCTTGCCCGCCCCCCCCCTTCCCCCGGCCTCTGGGGAGGCTCTGGGGAGATGAGAGAGGACTGTTAGCGAGCTCCCGTTGAGGACACAGGCTTGTCACGCACCTCCACGTAGGGGACGCCCATGAGCCGCAGCAGCCGCTTGCACTCGTCATTGTGCTGCCGTGTGACGCGCACCAGCCGCTTGCTGAACTTCTCCACGTTCTCCACTTCGCCTGCAACGCACGCGTCACAAAGACACGAGAGAATACGGTGATGATGAGGATTATTCCACCGCTCGTTTAACCACGAAAGTCTCACCGAGTCCCGAGACACTTTCGCAGGAGGGTCCTGCCAAGTGTTACGCAGTGAAGTGTCGAAGGCTCGCTGGCAGCTCACGGTAGAGGCCCAGGTGCCATGGGTTGACCGAGATGATCTGTGCGCCCCACTGTGCCGACTCGCTACGTTCTATCTGCCCTCTGCTATGCTCGTTGTTGTGAGCATCGCTCCTCTGCCCCCCTCCGCCGTTGGCGACTGCCTCCAACTGCCCAGGAGCGTCCTTCACAGAGGCCGGTCTTGACACCGATGGTCCACTCAGCTCCACATCCTCCTGTACCACATCAAGTCCACATCTCTTATCCAGCACCGTGTCACGCCCGTTTAGCCCCCTCTATCTGGCCAAACAGAAGCTGCTTGGGCATGCGGTGGGCTGGGCATAAGGGCTACACGACCCACACAAATATACACACAGCCGCAAACATACGCACACGCACGCCTCCTCACCAGCCTCCTCAGCTGCCACCAGCTGTTTCTCGGCCTCCACTCTGCGCTCCGCTCGCTTCGCCAGCTGCAACCAATTCACACAGTAATTAATACCCACAATGCACCGGGCCCAACGTCGTTGAGCCATGGTGGCGAGAGGAGCCACGGTGACGAGATGTTATCTCCCTCCCCTGGTATACAAGAGGTCATGGATCCGATCCCGACCCTGATGCCTGTAAATGTGGAGTTTGCATGTCTCTCTCCCCGTGGTCGCGTGGATTTCTACGTTTTTTTCCCTCCACATTTAGAAACAACGTGCATTTAGAGCATTTGCCTGCTATACACTACCACATGATAAGCCACTTCGTTAAGCTATCATTTGTGCCTAGGTAGCTGAAAGCAGCGGCGGTGATTGGCGCGGATACCTCTCCCGACTTGAGCTGAGGAGGTTTCCCGTCGAACACGTACACGGGCTTGATGCCGTTCTCCATCATGCGGATCGTGCGGTAGAAGAGTCCAACCAGGTGGCTGTAAGCACAATCGCACGGTCACAAACGCACAACAACAACAATAATCACATAAATCACACGATCACGTTCACACAATCGCATTCACACGAGCACATTTACAGTCACATTTACAAGCTCACAATTGCACAATCTCATTGACAGAATCAACGATATAATTGCACTATCTGCACTTCCTGTTTGCCCTGATCATTGATCGATCCGCTGACCTTCCCGTTTTCCAAATGTGCTCACGCTCCCCAATGTCCAAGCTCTTGCGAAAAGACAAGAGGAATATTGCACAGCCACATTCTCATCAAATTGCCCACTTGCCCTATTAATCAGCAAAACCTTGATAGATCCACGGACCTCCTTGTTATCCGAGCATCCGTTCTCTGTGGCAGGCCGGGTAGGAAAGTGCTGCCTGCCCTCGACTATGTGTGGACCAGGGGGCACTTGAAGAAAGTATCTCAGCGGTAGGTCTGTGATATCCGCTTCCGCAGGGCGTTCTCTAACACAAATCGGTGTACTGCTCTGCGCTCCTGTTGTGTTTTTCGTAATTGTTGGTTGTCGCAACTCCCTGACCCCATACCCGTACTGGACATCTGTGGGTAAAGAGCTCTGTAGCTCATCGGATTCCTTCTCCATTGTAAAGAAAGATCCTGAGATTTCCGAACGGACCCTTCTTCTCGTTACGCGACGCCGACCTTCACAGGCGGGGTAAGATAGGGAAAAGAGAATTGTGTTAATGAATTGAAAATAAAAAGAGCAGAGCATCACCTGGTTGTCTCTCCGTCCTCAGAGGTAAGAGTGTTTCCGTCCTGCCGCACGGCGATCAGGAACTGGTAGATGCTCATCGACGCGTCAATGGCGATTTTGCGACCTACAAGAGACACAAAGATAAAGATCATCCTTGGAGCCTTTAAACAGGCTGATGGAACAAGTGCTGTTAGCGAGTGCCTATGAACGCTGGCACGGCACACGAGGTGGTGGGTGGTCAGCGCCACGACCGGGCCGTCTTTGTCTCCCCTGTGCTGATGTTTACACAACACATCAGTTAAAAAATGGTGGTAACATCACCGCAGCATTTGTGCCAGGCTAGGTGAACTTGGTGGCCATGTAATATGTAATGAGGTCCCAGGACAGACTAGGTGTTATACGTTGATTGAGATGACTGACAGTGACACACTAATAGTGACGTACAATAACAGTGACGAACACTAATAGTGACATACAATACCAAAATTACTCTAACACACACTGCCAAACTATGACACAATGGGAGGCAGTGGTGCAAGATAAGTCAGTCTGGCTCTATGAACCTATCAGAATACTGAAACCCAATACTGTAATATTAAACTGGCCAAGGTCTGGCTCTGTGAGCATAAATGGTTAAGATAAAATCCCTATGTAAGCCTATGTGAACCTTAGTCTGGCTCTGTGAGCCTCAGTGATTAGCACTGAACCCTATGGGAGCCTCGGTCTGGCTCCGAGCCTCAGTGATTAACACTGAACCCTATGGGAGCTTTTGCCTGATTCCGAGTCTCAGTGTTTAACACCAAACCCTATGGGAACCTCGGTCTGGCTCCGAGTCTTAGTGATTAACAGTGAACCCTATGGGAGACTTTGCCTGATTCCGAGTCTCAGTGATTAACACCAAACCCTATGGGAACCTCGGTCTGGCCCCGAGTCTTAGTGATTAACAGTGAACCCTATGGGCGCCTTTGCCTGGCTCTGAGTCTCAGTGATTAACACAGAACCCTATGGGAGCCTTTGCCTGGCTCTGAGTCTCAGTGATTAACACAGAACCCTATGGGAGCCTTTGCCTGGCTCTGAGTCTCAGTGATTAACACTGAACCCTATGGGAACATTTGCCTGACTCCGAGCCTCAGTGATTAACACCGAACCCTATGGGCGCCTTTGCCTGGCTCTGAGCCTCAGTGATTAACACAGAACCCTATGTGAGCCTTTGCTTGGCTCTGAGTCTCAGTGATTAACACCGAACCCCATATGCGAATCTTGAGTCTCTGTGAGCCTCATTAACACTGAACCCTATGCGAATCTTGAGTCTCTGTGAGCCTCATTAACACTGAACCCTATGCGAATCTTGAGTCTCTGTGAGCCTCATTAACACCGAACCCCATATGCGAATCTTGAGTCTCTGTGAGCCTCATTAACACTGAACCCTATGCGAATCTTGAGTCTCTGTGAGCCTCATTAACACTGAACCCTATGCGAATCTTGCGTCTCTGTGAGCCTCATTAACACTGACCCCTATGCGAATCTTGAGTCTCTGTGAGCCTCATTAACACTGAACCCTATGCGAATCTTGCGTCTCTGTGAGCCTCATTAACACTGACCCCTATGCGAATCTTGAGTCTCTGTGAGCCTCATTAACACTGAACCCTATGCGAATCTTGAGTCTCTGTGAGCCTCATTAACAATGACCCCTATGCGAATCTTGCGTCTCTGTGAGCCTCATTAACACTGAACCCTATGCGAATCTTGAGTCTCTGTGAGCCTCATTAACACTGACCCCTATGCGAATCTTGAGTCTCTGTGAGCCTCATTAACACTGACCCCTATGCGAATCTTGCGTCTCTGTGAGCCTCATTAACACTGAACCCTACGCGAATCTTGCGTCTCTGTGAGCCTCATTAACACTGACCCCTATGCGAATCTTGTGAGCCTCATTAACACTGGCCCCTACGCGAATCTTGCGTCTCTGTGAGCCTCATTAACACTGACCCCTATGCGAATCTTGAGTCTCTGTGAGCCTCATTAACACTGACCCCTATGCGAATCTTGAGTCTCTGTGAGCCTCATTAACACTGACCCCTATGCGAATCTTGAGTCTCTGTGAGCCTCATTAACACTGACCCCTATGCGAATCTTGAGTCTCTGTGAGCCTCATTAACACTGACCCCTATGCGAATCTTGAGTCTCTGTGAGCCTCATTAACACTGAACCCTATGCGAATCTTGAGTCTCTGTGAGCCTCATTAACACTGAACCTATGCGAATCTTGAGTCTCTGTGAGCCTCATTAAACACTGAACCCTATGCGAATCTTGAGTCTCTGTGAGCCTCATTAACACTGACCCCTATGCGAATCTTGAGTCTCTGTGAGCCTCATTAACCCTGACCCCTATGCGAATCTTGAGTCTCTGTGAGCCTCATTAACACTGAACCCTATGCGAATCTTGAGTCTCTGTGAGCCTCATTAACAATGACCCCTATGCGAATCTTGCGTCTCTGTGAGCCTCATTAACACTGAACCCTATGCGAATCTTGAGTCTCTGTGAGCCTCATTAACACTGACCCCTATGCGAATCTTGAGTCTCTGTGAGCCTCATTAACACTGACCCCTATGCGAATCTTGCGTCTCTGTGAGCCTCATTAACACTGAACCCTACGCGAATCTTGCGTCTCTGTGAGCCTCATTAACACTGACCCCTATGCGAATCTTGTGAGCCTCATTAACACTGGCCCCTACGCGAATCTTGCGTCTCTGTGAGCCTCATTAACACTGACCCCTATGCGAATCTTGAGTCTCTGTGAGCCTCATTAACACTGACCCCTATGCGAATCTTGAGTCTCTGTGAGCCTCATTAACACTGACCCCTATGCGAATCTTGAGTCTCTGTGAGCCTCATTAACACTGACCCCTATGCGAATCTTGAGTCTCTGTGAGCCTCATTAACACTGACCCCTATGCGAATCTTGAGTCTCTGTGAGCCTCATTAACACTGACCCCTATGCGAATCTTGAGTCTCTGTGAGCCTCATTAACACTGAACCTATGCGAATCTTGAGTCTCTGTGAGCCTCATTAACACTGAACCCTATGCGAATCTTGAGTCTCTGTGAGCCTCATTAACACTGACCCCTATGCGAATCTTGAGTCTCTGTGAGCCTCATTAACACTGACCCCTATGCGAATCTTGAGTCTCTGTGAGCCTCATTAACACTGAACCCTATGCGAATCTTGAGTCTCTGTGAGCCTCATTAACACCGACCCCTATTGGGGGGAGCCTCAGCCAGACGCAGCGATCTCAACAAACACGAATATTCTAGATTTGAAGCTTTCGTGACTGCAAGGATTCATACTCTTTGGTTTTATTAGGTAAAGTCACGAAGATTTTAAACCACATCGGTACAACGTACCAAAGTAGCTCTTGATGTCGTTTTCCTTCATGGCTCCGGGTGCGACGTCCGCGATGAGCTTGGTGAGGCCGTGTATTCCCATTGTCGGCGCGCGCGCGTGCTAAATGTTTAAGTTGTTAAGTAATGTAATGTAAAGTAATGAGGGGGGGAGGGAGAGTCTTTAACTTCGTTCGCCCTGTCAGGCTTGCGGCCCGGTCTCACTTTTCCCGCGCTTTCGCGTGTGACGTCACCGTCGCGGTGGGAGGGGGGAGCGCTTGCTACGGTGGCCTCACCTCCTCCCACCACCACCACCGCCGGGGATGAGTTTCGCGTTTCGTAAATAGCGTTTGAAATCAAATGGGGCATTTTTATTGTTGCCAGTATCAAAGTATGAAAAAATAAGAATATGTTTTTACCCTTTCTGGCAATAAAGCAGGAGTTGTGTTCAGATGTTTAAACACTAAAATTGAAACAGTTTGCAAGGAATCAAGATCGACATTAACCACCACACGTACTTGTGCTAAATATGCAAACAAACACGCTCTGATACTAATACTGGTAGGAACCTCCAGGTTACACCAACCCACAGGGGATTAAAACTGCCACTGCTATTCAGTGGCCTAAAATAAAATGTTTCGCTCCGGATGACCGCTGCAAAGTATTATCTGTATTTTGATTTAGTGTGCTGATCTTAAAGGTGCATTGAAAAATGTGATACTCCGACTGATGTTCCTGTTGTTGTGGAGTGAATCATGCAGCCAGCTATGGCTCTAGGGTTTGGTGTTACATGTTATTTATGTAGTTTATTGTAAAAAAAATTCGGTCACAGTTCCTATGATCACTGTTACATTGCATTTATGGCTTTATTCTTTGGTGATTTCTAAAAGTGTTTTGGTTTGGCCATGTTTTTGTTTATTGTAGTACGGAGTTAGACTGATGGCCTTAATCTAAGTTTTCTTGTTGTTGTTTGACTTGCATCCCACTGGGATTTTTGCACACAGCGTTGGTGTACAGTGCTATTTCAGGAATATTTTGATGTTTTTTTCCTGGATTTTCTGTTTGCACAGTCACACAAAGTCACTTTAAGATGTTTTCTTGTTCATGTTTTTTGTTTGTTGTGGTTGCACCCGATTCAAGAGCCGAATGGCTCACAGGACTATACCAAATAAATGAAACTATGAAACTATTCTAGATCTGAAGCTTTCGTGACTGCAAGGATCCATACTCTTTGGTTCTATTCGGTAAAGTCACGTAGGTAAAAAAATAAAACAACAAAAATCACGTTTCGGCCACAACACAAGCGGTCTTCAACAGGTGAAGGTTCTTTGCAAACCCACGGGTTTTTATCAGAGATTTGTTCACGAGGCAATTCAGATCTACAAACACAGACACAATTTCAACCGAGAAGATGGTTTCAAATTAAGCAACCATTGGAAAGATGTTCTAAATCGAACCAAACATTAAACTAATTTTCAATGGTACAGTATATTTTTCAAGTAGTGGTACCCCAAACTTTCACAGCTTCTTAAAAAAATCCCTTTTCACACCACGATCATGTGGACTCTACCTTGCCCCCTCGCCAGCCTGCACATGTTCACCCTCTCCCCACCTTTCATCATGCTAAGTCCGCCTATTAAATGCAAATTTTTATGCTAATTCCTTTGTCAAGGCACCTTAATTACTCTCACACAGCTTAAAGGTCGCGGTCTGAGCTTGGCTGTGTTTCACTCCAGCGCTGTCCTCGAGACAGTCTGGTCCCTTCACCTGTTGAAGGCCGCTTGTGTTGTGGCCGAAACGTCGTGATTTTTGTTGTTTTATTTTTTTGCCTACGTGACTTTACCGAATAGAACCAAAGAGTATGAATCTATTGTGTCCGTCCGTCCGTCGTGCATCCAAAAATGGGAGGGGTGGGGCTGGGTGGAGAGGGGAGGGTGGGGAGGGGCTGGGGAGGGGTGGGGCTGGGTAGGGTGGGAGGGGTGGGGCTGGGTGGGGAGGGGCTGGGTGGGGAGGGGAGGGTGGGGAGGGGCTGGGTGGGGAGCGGTGGGGCTGGGTGGGGAGGGGCTGGTCACCCCGTGGTGCCCTTATAAAACTCAACGTTTAACCTACTCACGCCGGCTTGTGCCCGCCCTCACAATCGGGAATATTTGCGGAATACACCACGTGGTGCCGCCGTTGTTGACCCTGGCCATTGACCGAGCAAGCCAACGTTCCTACCAGCTCCCTCCGCAGGAATGTGTTCTGTGCATTGTGTTTGACACTGATTGTTCTACACCAGACACAGCAGCAACAGCAGCTTTCTTCATGGCCTAGTCTCACCACTACCAGTGGCAGAGACCACAGAACAACGCCATAAGGCGAACGGCGCAAAGACAACGACACGATCAGAGCATTAATAAAGTTATTGTATTAATCATACACGGTATATGTGGTGAACATGGAAACAAACATGTTATAATAATATATGTGTGGCATTGTCTTTGAAACTGATTGAAATAATAAATACGTAGATAACAGGACTGTACAGAATCATAAAACAGTATTTACTTTATATACTGGAGGAATCCGATGAGCTATGAAGCGCTTTATTCCACAGACTTCCAGTAGGGGCACGGGGTCAGAACGTAACAACAGCAGCAGTACAAACACGATGACAGTGATTCAAAGTTGTAAACACCTTATCAGTGCCCTTACCTTGTTACACGCCAATTCACACCTTATCGGTCACCCCGTGCCCCTCATACATCTCAACGTGCATCCTACAAAGTCACTATACACTACACTACGATACACTACACTACTATACACTACACTACCATAGATTACATACTACACTACTATACACTACACTACTATACACTACACAACTATACACTACACTACCATACACTACATACTAGACTACTATACACGACACTACTATACACTACACACTACACTACTATACACTACACTACTATACACTACACTACTATACACTACACTACCATAGACTACACACTAGACTACTATACACTACACTACTATACACTACACTCTACACTACTATACACTACACTACTATACACTACACTACTATACACTACACACTACACTACTATACACTACACTACTATACACTACACACTACACTACTATACACTACTACACACTATACACTACACTACTATATACTACACACTACACTACTATACACTACACAACTATATACTACACACTACACTACTATACACTACACTACTACCCACTATACACTACACTACTATACACACTACACTACTATACACTACACTACTATACACTACACACTACACTACTATACACTACACACTACACTACTATACACCACTACTATACACTACACACTACTATACACTACACTACTACCCACTATACACTACACTACTACCCACTATACACTACACTACTACACACTCTACACTACACTACTATACACTACACTACTATACACACTACACTACTATACACTACACTACTACACACCTGTCAACCGTTATCAATGCCTTACCTTGTTACAGACCAACTCACACCTTATCGGTCACCCCGTGCCCCTTATACTACATCTCAACGTTCATCCTACAAAGTCCCATCACAAGGGAGAGACACAGACAAATGTTGATATTTGTTGCCCGTATTGAAACGGCTGTACGCCGTATGGATCTGGGAACTCAATTTCCCTGTGCAAAAATACGGGCTCAATCATACTGTATGGGTTGACAGCTGTGAGTCCAAAGTATTGGTAAGTCAAACAAATCACTAAAGTGTGAAAAAATATAATAATAGGTTTTACCCTTTTCTGGCAATAAAAACAGCAGTCGTGTTAAGATGTTCAATCACCAAATATAAACATTTCGCAAGGAACTGCTGCATTAACCACAGACGGTACTTTGGTGAACATGCAAACAAACATGTTCTGATAACATGCTCTGATATAAATCATCATTAATTGTCTGAAAACAACAAAGTAGAAGTGCCCTCCTGAAAGAGTGCCTCTCTCCTGGATACGTTAACATTTTCACTATAATTAGTAATAATTAACATCTGTTAACGCTCATCATTATCGTGGCCATCTCACAGAGATCCACTGTCTTTGGCAGTGCTAACAGTGACGTGGCAAGACGTGTTCGTGGTGTCGCAACGCGTGCCACGAGGAGCGGTGGCGCATTGGTTAGCGCACTGAGCTACCAACTCCGAGCTCCTCTCAATACCAGTGGCTATCTGAAGCGCTCCTGGGCCTCCCCCCCCCCCTAGGTAGCCACAACTGAGTGTGAGCCTCCCCTTGGTCGGACGCGGCATCAAATGGGTATCGAGTGCGGTGTGTGAACATCGCCACTGGGGAGACAAAGGCGGCCGGGCGTGGTGTTGTCCACGCCACACCGCCACACGTGTGCCGTGCCGGCCTTCATAGGTGCTGCTCGCTAACAGCACGTGCCCCATCGGCCAGCGAAGGCGATACGGGGGGGGAATCTTTATTTACCTTACGTGCCACCGATACATTAAAACACTCCGCCACAGCGGGCTTCTGGAACCTTCTTTGAAGCTGTTGCGAAACATGATTACATGGCTGATGTTAAACGGTAGCGCCTTTGCTACTGTGTGTCTCTATGGCTCTGTGTGTAGGGTTGTGTGTGTGTGTAGGGTTTCGTGTCATATGGTTCTGTGTGTGTAGGGTTGTGTGTCATAGTGTATAGGGTATGATGTATAGGCCTGGCACAAGCGTCGTGGTGACGTCACCGCCACTTGGTGGCGAATGGCGGTTGTTGTTGTGTGTCTAGGGTTGTGTCATATGGTTGTGTGTGGAGGGTTCTGTGTGTGTAGGGTTGTGTGTCATAGGGTTATATATTTATGTCATAGTTTCGTGATATTTTTTTTTAAGGTGGAGGGGTTACCAGTCCCTCGCACCCGTCCTGAGCCCCCGTTTAGCCCCTGTGGTGGTCACAGATGCCACGAGGGGAGGAGCCAATCGGAATTGGACCTCCCCCCACAGCATTGTCCACGACAGAGTTGCCCGTCCGGCACCGCGAGGAGGTAGGGGGTTGTTTTGCCAGACAATTACCATCATTAGGGGAAAAAACGGTGATCCAATCTCCGACCCCCAGGAACAGGTTTGCAGATTTGCTGAGCATTTCTGTGATGTCCTGGGGGAGGGAAAATCCATCAGCCAGGAAAACATCGTGGCACAAAGTGGGGATGACCCTGCTGAGGCTGCGGTGCCTCAAATATTGGAAGAAGTCACCCCCTGTGAGTGGCTGGC